CCTTGTTATTATCTGGATTCCCTGTTGACTTTGCTTGTCAGAAGGTTGCAAAAGAGGATCCCATTATCTGGGGACATAGCAACGGTCATAATTTTGAACCAGTGGTGAAATCTAAAATTTCTTACTACCGGTTCTGTGGGTGTGGCTTGGTGAGGGGGGGTATAATGTGACCGGGTGGGCGTGGCCAATTTTTTTTTTAACTTTTAAAACTATTTTTTCTACAACCTCTTTGGCGAAGAGGTTGTAAAAAAATGCTTTCAAAAGGCTCCGACGATCCAAGCTGAGTTGCCTGATCGTCAGAGGCATTTAAAAGAAAAAAACGGTTTTTTTCTTTTAAAAGCCTTTGATGATCCCAGCTGAGCCGTGCGATCATCAGAGGCTTTTCTTTTTACTTTTAAAAGCATTTTTTCGGCCAAAGAGGTTGTAGAAAAAATGCTTTTAAAAATTAAATAAAAGAGCCTCTGATGATTGTGCGGCTCAGCTGGGCATGTGGGGGGCAGGGATTTTTGCTACTGGTTCTCTGAATCACCCATAACGGATCGGGCGATCCGGTCCGAACCGGGAGCATTTCACCCCTGGTTTGAACCCGTTGCCAAGCATCTGAACCAGGGGTGAAATTCACTTACCTTCCCTACCAGTTCGCAAATGTGTGCGTGCCATGCGTGCGCTCGCTTCACTCACACGCGCCGTCAGCCGTGCATGCGCAAAGCCTTCTGTGCATGTGCAGAGACATAAAATCATTGCAAAAAAGCGATGCCATGACATCCATGTGGGTGGGTGGAGCCTCCCGCAGCCGCCGCTACCAGTTTGCCCAAGCCGGATCGAACCGGCTGAATTTCACCCCTTATCTGAACTTTGCTCACAAGATCACGGGGATGCTTCAAAGGTCGTCACTATGAAAAATGGTCATGTCACTTTTTTCAGTAGTGTTGTAACTCTGAACGGTCACTAAATGAATTGTTGTAAATCGAGGACTACCTGTACTTTCCTTCTGGCCCAGCAGAGGGCATCTTATGCCCATCAGGGGGAAGAAGGGAGGAAATTTATTTACCATTATTTCTTTGTTTGTTGGAAAATTTATAAAAAAAAAAACTAAAGAAGAAAATAATCAAATAATGAATTAATAAAAATATTATAAGATCCTAAGATCTAAGGTTTCCAGTCTTTCTTCAAAACCTCTGAATGAGATTGAGATTTGCAGATCGATTGGATAAAGTTGATATAATGTTAAAAGTTTGGTCTGGGGCTTGTCACTTTTTAGATGGAGCTGCACCATCTGGCCCAGCTCTTTGAAATCCTTCTCGCGCTCTGCTTTTTGTTCCGGGGTAAGATCTTCGTTGTCATTATTGCTGAGAGGGAAACATCCCGGTGAGAACACACATTCATACAAACCATTTAATGGGCTCCATCCCACCCTGGGTTCCCCAGATTCGCTGGCAGTACCAGGTCTTCAGTGCTTTTCAGAAGAGTATTAGAGTGGGGGCCATTCTAATCTCTGGGGGAATGATGGTCCAGAGAGAGGGAGCCACCATGGAGAAGGCCCTTCTTCTGGGTCCCACCAGGTGTATCTCCCTAGGGCAAGAGTGTCATACTCCTGCCCTAGGGCTGCATCAGGGTTGCGTTTGACTTCAGGAGGCCAGGAATGGTATGGCAGGGTAGGCATGGCTAGCTTGACATCACTCATGTCAGCTGGGTGCCTGTGGTGGCCTGAGCACTCTGCCAGCGAAAACAGGCTTCCGAGTTCTGCTTTTGACCGGGAGGGCCTCCTGCAGCCCTTTGCCAGTGAAAACAGAGCTCAGGGGGATGCATGCAGCTCAGGAGTGAAATCTAAAATTTGTTACTACCGGTTCTGTGGGCGTGGCTTGGTGGAGGGGGTAATGTGACTGGGTGGGCATGGCCAATTTTTTTTTTTACTTTTAAAACCATTTTTTCTACAACCTCTTCGGTGAAGAGGTTGTAAAAAATGCTTTCAAAAGGCTCTGACGATCCCAGCTGAGTTGCCTGATCGGCAGAGACTTAAGCTTGGATTGTCAGAGGCATTTAAAAGGAAAAAAACCCTTTTTTCCTTTTAAATGCCTCTGACGATCCAAGCTGAGTTGCCTGATCGTTAGAGGCATTTGAAAGAAAAAAAGTCTCTGCCAATCAGGCAACTCAGCTTGGATCGTCAGAGGCATTTAAAAGAAAAAAGAGTTTTTTTTCTTTTAAAAGCCTTTGATGATCCCAGCTGAGCCGTGCGATCATCAGAGGCTTTTTTTTCCTTTTAAAACCATTTTTCGGCCAAGAGGTTGCAGAAAAAATGCTTTTAAAAGTAAAAAATAAGCCTCTGGTGATTGTGCAGCTCAACTGGGCATGGGGGGGGGGGGCAGGGATTTTTGCTACCGGTTCTCCAAACCACCCGTCTCCATCACTACTGGATCGGGTGACCCGGTCCGAACCAGGAACATTTCACCCCTGATGCAGCTCTCCTGAGTTCCATTCTCACTGGCAGAGGTACTGCGGGCCGGTCCTTCACTGTTTCCAGGGCGCCCCTGCGGGCCAGATCTAAGCACCCCATCGACTGGATGTGGGCCGCGGCTTTGAGTTTGACACCCCTGCCCTAGGAGATGGGACCCACGACATTCCTTGTCTCCCTGCTCTAGTGGGTTGGGTAGATGTGACCAGCAAGAGACGGTCCCTCAGTTAACTTGGTCCCAAGCCATGAAGGGCTTTAAAGGTGATAATGAGCACCTTGAATTGCACCCGGAAGCAAATCGGTGACCAATGCAGCTCCTGCAAGATTGTGCTGTAGGTAAAGGCAATGCATATCTAGCCAACATTTCTTGATTGGTAGTGCTCAGAAGTGACCCAAAGGAGGAAACTGCTGTGAAAATCATGGTGCTGACACAAGCAGCTGAATTTAAGGGTCCTTGGCAAGTATTGTTTTTTTTTTCTCCACCATAAGAGCAAAGGGAAGGATTCCAAGATTTTCTGCTTCAGGGGGCAAAACTGGCATGACAGGTTATACACAGGGCTGTCTTTAGAATATGGTTAAAAAAGAGTCAAAATGAAGGTTTGAAGGAGTGATCCAAGCTCTGTCTATTTCCTCTGTCAGACGTTGCTCCTCAATAGCTCCCGTCTTGACTTCCTAACTTTGGCAGCTTCAAGACATTTGAACTTCAATTACCAGAATTACCCAGCCAGCCACATGTTTTAAAGTTGCCAAGGTTGGGAAAATGATGTTGTGGCCCCCACTGGTTGGATTCAACTTAGTTGGACAGCCAGCCTTATTTATCCATCAGTCTCATCTCTGAAAAAATTGGCCAAGTCGTTAAGGCCCATTTTACCCATTTTTCCAATGTCAAACTCGGAGGAACCATGTGAATGGAGGAATTTGGTTTAAATCTGAACCAGCCCAGTAGAAGTCTAGGGAGATTCTCAGTCATCCAGGTCATTGCTGTCCCAAAGGTGCTTTTTCAGCAGTCAACTGGACTTTCTTATTTTTTCTTCTTCGAAGACCTTTCGCTTCTCATCCAAGAAGCTTCTTCAGCTCTGACTGAATGATAGGGAATGGAAGGAATTCCATTCATTCTTCCATGCCCCCACCATCCAGTCAGAGCTGAAGAAGCTTCTTGGTTGAGGAGTGAAACGTCTTCAAAGAAAAACCAGAAAGTCCAGTTGCCTCTTGGAAAAAGCACCTTTGGGACAGCCCAGTAGAATTATCAGTAAAGAGATAAGAAGGCTGCTGGTGAGAAAGGCAGAAAAAGAGTTGAAGAGAAGAAGGATGGCAATAAAGGCGTCCATTAGGGAAGATAATGATGATGATGATGATATTATTATTATTATTATTATTATTATTATTATTATTATTATTAAATAAATAATTTAAAAAATCAGGGCACTTGGTACCATATACAAGAATTTTACAAAACACATCAAGAAATTGCAGCTTCCTGCAATAACACCAGCGGAACTGCAAAAAAATGTGCTACTCAGAACATCATACATTTTAAGAAGATACTTGCTTGATTCTTAGGATGCTGGCAGCAACCCGTATCAACCATTAGCACTAGTCAATGATATTTGTGACACATTTTTAAATTATCAGCTGACTTTCATGTTTAATGAATAAAAGAGATTATTACTACTACTACTACTACTACTACTTATTATTATTATTATTATTATTATTATTATTATTATTATTTAATCTGTAGTGAGATTCACAGCCTTTGAGACTGGCTAATAGCTCAGCAGCTCGAGTCCCAACCAAGGACTTGGGAACTGTTAAGGTATCATTGGAGGATGTAAGCTGTTCCGAGTAAGGTGGTTTTTTGTAGAGTCAAAATATTCAAGTCTGTAAATTTAGAATTTCTAAATAGTGGGGTAGCCCTTTGGGTATTGCTCCAAGGGCTCCAATTACAATTGGGACAACACACAATTTCTTTTTCCACAATCGCTCAACTTCAATTTGCAAGTCCCGGTACTTTGTGATTTTTTTCTTGCTGCTTATCTTCAATCCGTGCGTCACCAGGTATTGCAATGTCAATGAACCATACTTTTTTCTTTTCAACTGTTGTTATGTCAGGTGTATTGTGGACCAAGTGCCTGTCAGTCTGAATCCTAAAGTCCCACAAGATCTTGAGTTTCTCATTCTCTAAAACTTTCCCAACCTATTATTATTATTATTATTTTGTCAAGCATATATATGATAACAGATAAAAGTATAAACATGATTAGGAATACACGAAATGGATACGAATAAAAAGGGACATTAAGACAGGGACGGAGAGTTGGAAGGGACCTTGTAGGTCATCTAGTCCACCCTCCCCCCAAGTAGGAGACCCTACACCATTTCTGACAGAGGCAGCCCAGTCTCCCCTTGAAAGCCTCCACGGATGAAGCTCCCAGAACTTCTGAAGGCAACTTCTGTTCCATGGGTTGATTGCTCTCACTGTCCGAAGGGAAGGGTGAGGGAGCGCCCTCACAGGGGATAGGAAGGAGAGGAGCGCTTTGCACATGCACAGAGACCGTCTCGGGTGCCCAGGCTTCGCCCACCGAGAGGCACGGCCTTCCTTCCCCCCAATCCTCGGCCCCAATTGCCCTCTGGGTTAAACTCGGGGCTTGCAGGAGAGAACAGGAGCGGCTGGTCCAAGAGGCGGCGACGGCAGCTCCGTTGCCATTGGTGGGCCGCGCAGGCCTTAAAGTCCACGCCACTCGCCTGGGCTGCTGAAGCGGCGAAAAGATGGTTTGCTCAGCGCGGCTCCCCCTCGCCCGTTTGCCCCGCTTCTTGGCCGGGAAGAGGGCCGGCACGGCGCGGGCCCTCCCCGGGAGAGGTAAGTGGAGGCAGCCGGGAAGGAGCCCTCCGGAGACGCTCTCTCGCTCGCTCGCTCGGCGAGAGGAGTGTCAGCGTTTACCCGAGGATGGTGACCGCCGTGCCTCTGAGCATGTCCAGAGTGCATTTGCAGTCGCAAAGAGCAGGATGCTCTCCCACAGCCCCAGAGGGGCGCGTCTTGTCTCGATCCGCTCCCCTTTCATTCAAACAGGAGAAGCCGCAAAAGTGCTTTCTGAAACGGCGGTCGCACCTCCAGACCGCAGCCCCTGTTAGACAACTTTCTTTCTTTCTTTCTTTCTTTCTTTCTTTCTTTCCTTTCTTCCTTCCTCTTTCTTTCCTTTCTTCTTTCTTTCTTTCTTTCTTTCTTTCTTTCTTTCTTTCTTTCTTTCTTTCTTTCTTTCTTTCTCTTCCTTCCTCCCTCCCTCCCTCCCTCCCTTCTTTCTTTCTTTCCTTTCTTCCTCCCTCCCTCCCTTCTTTCTTTCCTTTCTTCCTTCCTTCTTTCTTTCTTTCCTTCCTTCCTTCCTTCTTTCTTTCTTTCTTCCTTCCTTCTTCCCTCCCTCTCTCCCTCCCTCCCTCCCTCCCTCCCTTCTTTCTTTCTTTCTTTCTCTTTCTTTCTTTCTTTCTTTCTCTCTCTCTCTCTCTCTCTCTCCTTCCATCCTTCCTTTCTCCCTCCCTCCCTCCCTCCTTCCTTCCTTCCTTCCTATTAATCACAAGTATTAAGTATATATGGTATGTATATACAATACAGTATATACACATACAGTATTATGCTAATAATACTGTATGTGTATATTTTTTTGTTTTTAATTTGTATATACTGTGTATATACATACTGTATATACTTTATATACATACATACATACATACATACATACATACATACATACATGTGTGTGTGTGTGTGTGTGTTTTCTTTTCGTAGGCCTTTATGTGTATTTCTCTTTAGCCAGGTTCTTCCTACGTAAACCAAGATTTATATGCAGCCCTAGTTCAGTGAAATCACAATCCACTAGTTTCTAGGCTTTTTTCAGGCAGCCAGCAAGCACCCTGCTGCCCATTGGGAGACTACATTGGGAGAATACAGTATATAATGTGAGTAAAAGATCTGGCGGAGGCTGAGGGAGTGAGAGCAGAATGAGAAGGGGTGGGAGCACCTACTCCCTCCTCCTGCGCTCTACCCAGGTCAAGAGTGTCGTGGGAAGGCGAGAACACACATGCGACTTTGCGCTTCTGATTTAGGGAATTCAGCATGGGGCAAAATTACAACATGGTAACCCCCCACTCCTGTTCGCGTTGCGCTTTTCCTAACTGGCACCTCAGAATCCACTCACTGCCGTCAGTGTGTCCGACCTTATTTACTTGGAAATCAATGCATTAGGATGCGATTCAGTGCCTGCCCCAACACAGGGAGAGCTTGATCTTTTGCATGAGATTAGGCCTAGTATGGGGGAAGTGCAGGATTTTTCTTCTAAGCGTCAGAGAGGGGTGAGACTCAAGAATTGGCGGGTGGGTGAGGCTTGGATCCCAGCCCCCACTCCCTTACTGAGGACTGTGGAGAAAGAGTGGATTAACTCAAAAGCCACTGTCCTAATGCAACCCGGTGCATTTAGGAGGTCAATGTTTTTCAAACTTGGCAACTGTAAAGATGGGTGGACTTCATCCTGGCTGAGGAACTCTGGGAGTTGAAGTCCACAAGTCTTAAAAGTTGCCAAGGTTGGAGACCCCTGCACTAGCAAGAACCCAGCAAAGGCAGTCCGAGGCCAAATGCAGCTGAACTCTTGCTGAACTGGCCCTCCCGGGGTTTCCCCATTGGCATCGCCTTGCTCCTCCCTTGGGCTACACCTTGGACTTCGAGCCCCAAACAAGTGGAATTGAGGTCAGCCACTGACTCTCGAGCGAGCCTCCTAAACTTGTTGACCTGCAGTTGGAGGAGAAAGAACAGCCCCAAACCATTAAATTATTTTACTTGAATGAACATTGGAATTTGTTGGGCAGCCTTGCCCTTCAGGGTTTAGTGACCAAGGTTTAGCAAACATGTTTCCTGATGTTTTGCCAGCAATTAACATCTTCAGAAACAAAGGGATCTGCTATGCAGATCACAGGCAACGGAGCAGGCACTGACTGGCCTGCTGGCTTTATAGCCACTTCTGATTGGTCTTTACCCAAGCTGGTTTCTGATTAGTGCACATTGGCGAGGGCTGGCGTCTCCCATTGAAACATCAAGTAATCTGTTCTCTACACCGGGGTCCACTAAGCCTTAAAGCCAAAACTGCCAAACAGATACCAGTCTTGAAAGCCTAGATTAACTTTGGCATCTGATTGACTCTCTCCTTCCTTGTGACAGATTCTGGGCATAGCCCAGAATCAGCACAGGAAATGTTTCATGACCTTTGATGTTATGTCATAATTAGAATAGAAATAGAAATAGAATAGAATAAGAAAGAATAGAATAGAATAGAATAGAATAGAATAGAATAGAATAGAATAGAATAGAAGGAGGAGGAGGAGGAGGAGGAGGAGGAGGAGGAGAAGAAGAAGAAGAAGAAGAAGAAGAAGAAGAAGAAGAAGAAGAAGAAATAATAGAATAGAATAAAAATTAGAATTAGAAGAAGAATAATTAGAAATAATAGAATAGAATAGAATATTAATTAGAATTAAAATGAGAATGAGAAATAATAGAATAAAAATTAGAATTAGAATAATTAGAAATAATAGAATAGAATATTAATTAGAATGAGAATGAGAAATAATAGAAAAGAATAAGAATTAGAATTAGAAGAGTTAGAAACAATAGAATTAGAATAGAATAGAATTAGAACAGAATAGAATAGAATAGAAGAAGAAGAAATAGAATAGAAGAAGAATGAGAAATAATAGAATAGAATTTGAATTTGAATAAGAATTAGAAATAATCGAATCGAATAAGAATAAGAAATAATAGAATATTGTGCGTAGGCCAATCTAGCAGCTGTAATTATATGTATTGTTAAATGATTCTTTTCACAATATTGGAAAGAGAAAACCCAGCCACCAGAAGAACTTATAATTAGGAAAATACTGGAGTGCGCAGAGATGACCAAATTAACCCATGAAATAAACGATGACGAGAATTCAGAATACTATACTGTGTGGGGAAGGTGGTATGAATGGATGAAGGATAAAGTGAAAGGAAGAGAAAAAGGTGTGTTAAATAAAAGCAAAAAATAGCCTAAATGACACCAGGTATATATTTTGTACATATGTATAAACACTGCATATCCGATATTAATGGAAATGTTAATTTATATATGTTTATAAATTCAATAAAATTTCTAAAAAAAAAAAGAAATAATAGAATAGAATATAATTAGAATAAGAAGAATTAGAAATAATAGAATAGAATAAGAATTAGAATTAGAAGGGTTAGATAGAACAGAACAGAACAGAACAGAACAGAACAGAACAGAACAGAACAAGGGTAGGTGTGGAAAAGTGCAGTCACTCTTTTTTCTCTCTCTTCCAGGATGCTTTTACTAGTTTTAGCTAACTTGTAAGTGAAATCAAAACCCCTTGGAGCAAGATAACTTCCTATGATCTATAAATTCTATATGGACAGGCTGGTGTAGCTTTCTTTACACAGTGATGATGGTTGAACTTTGCTTTTTCCCAGAATGGTTTTTTACTTTGTTAGAGCAACCAAATTAAAAAAAAAAAAAAGACTTGGGGGAATCAAGAATTCCAGCCGACATTAGTGAAGGAGACTATGAGCACCTTTGTGTCAATAGATACAATTTGCCTCTCTCGATATGCTTTCCTGACACGATAGACACGCTACAATTCCTATTCTTTCTGACCTGCAAGGAACAGAATATTCACGCCGGTGAGGATGATGGGATCCAATGCATTTGGAAGGTGTGAGGGTGGAGCAGAGGATGTCCAATGAAACCCCACTAAGCACATGATATGAAAATTGTTCTTGAAGGATGGAGGTGGACTTAACTCCGGGATTTCCTTTGTCTATATTCCAAAAAACCCAGAGCTCAGATTTCTTTAAGAATTCTGTTCAGTTTCCCCTCCAGGCCCATGAAGTGCAATTTCAGCTGCATTCACAAAATTCAAGATGACATTTCATCCATTACGGGCAATGCCTTTGCCATAAAAGGTGAAAATGATATGCTGTGAAATTAAATTACATTCCAGACAGATGGCTATTGGGATGGCCTTTGATAAGCGTATTAATCTGAATTTTCTTTTGTTAGAGGTGCATCAGTATCAAGAATTGAAAAACTCTTCCTGCCTCCTACCAAAAATGCCTCCATGTGCCTTTGTGCCTGAGAAGTATGATGTAAGCATATGGTAGTCTTGGTTATTATGTATGATTGGGATCATTGATGCCAATGGGAACTAAATGCAATGGATCAAACCAAGCAGCTGGCAGAGTGGTTAGAATGCAGTATTGCAGGCTGACTCCGCCCACAGCCTAGAGTTCGATCCTGAAAGACTCAAGGTTGTCTTGGCCTTCCATCCTTCTGAGGTTGGTAAAATGAGGACCCAGATTGTTGGGGGGCAATAGGCTGACTTTGTAAACTGCTCAGAGAGTGCTGTAAAGCACTACAAGGTGTTAGTTGAGTCTCGGTGCTATTGCTACTGCTATTATGGTACAGAAAGTTTGATAAGACTGTAGCTCAGGAATTGGGCACATAACTAGCAGATTTTTTGTCTTATCTGTGCCATCTTGTAGAAGAGATGGGAGTATTCCTGCCAGAAATCCTAAACAATCACTGCCACTTAATGCTCATCAGGTTAGATCAGTGTTTCTTAACCTTGGCAACTTTAATAGCAATAGCAATAGCACGTAGACTTATATACTGCTTCATAGTGCTTTTACAGTCCTCTCTAAGTGGTTTACAGAGTCAGCCTATTGCCCCCAACAATCTGGGTCCTCATTTTACTGACCTCAGAAGGATGGAAGGCCAAGACAACCTTGAGCTGGTGAGATTTGAACTGCTGAACTGCAGCTAGCAGTCAGCTGAAGTAGCCTGCAGTGCTGCACTCTAACCACTGCACCACCTCAGCTTTAAGATGTGTGGACCTCAACTCCCAGAATTCCCTAGCCAACTAGTTTCCTCTGGACATGTTTTAATTTATCCAAGTCTGTCCTAAAAACAGAAGTCTAAAACACAAAATCCTCTGTGCAGTCTGACAGATTCAGAATGGAAAGGAAGAATAGTTTCTTCTGGATAGCAAATGGGCTGGGTTCACACATCAGGCATAGGCCCCCCACACCCAGGGGTGAAATGCTCCCGGTTCGGACCGGATCGCCCAATCCTGTAGTGATGGAGGCGGGTGGTTCGGAGAACCGGTAGCAAAAATCCGTGCCCCCCCCCCATTGCCCAGCTGAGCCACGCAATCATCAGAGGCTTTTTTTTAATTTTTAAAAGCATTTTTTCTACAACCTCTTTGGCCAAAACAATGCTTTTAAAAGTTAAAAAAAAAAAAAGCCTCTGATGATCGTGTGGCTCAGCTGGGATCATCAGAGGCTTTTAAAAGCATTTTTTCTACAACCTCTTCGGTCGAAGAGATTATAGAAAAAAAAATTTTAAAAGGAAAAAAAGCCTCTGCCGATCAGGCAAGTCAGCTGGGATCGTCAGAGGCTTTAAAAGCATTGTTTTACAACCTCTTCAGCCAAAGAGGTTGTAGAAAAAATGGTTTTAAAAGTAAAAAAAAAAAAAAAAGTTGGCCACACCCACTCAGTCATATTACCTCACCACCACCAAGCCACGCCCACAGAACCGGTAGTAACAAATTTTACATTTCACCACTGCCCCCACGCCAAAGAAAAGAAAATCTAAGATTAAAATTAAGCAATCCTAATACGTTGTTTGAATATAGCTGCTTGGTCTTTATGCGATCTGATGTTGTGCTGAGATTCACAAAACATATACTTTATTTTTAATGTTTTGCAATCTATAGTCCTATCCTTACGAACAAATGCTGAGAATTCGCCAAGAGAACGTGTTCCCATCCCTGTACACTTATTATAAGAAACCACTCCTGATCCATCAAGGACACATGCAGTGGCTGTTTGACTTTGAAGGACGAAGATACCTTGATCTCTTTGGTGGAATCGTTACTGTCAATGTTGGTCACTGCCATCCGTAAGTAAGCTTTTAACACCCAAGCGGACATGCAAGGATTGGCATGGCTGAATTCCATTAGCAGTGTGTGCCGGTTGCAAAGAACATTCTTTTTCTTCGGTTGCTATTGGCTTCAGGGGTGAAATGCTCCCGGTTTGGACCGGATCGCCCAATCCAGTAGTGATGGCGGCGGGTGGTTCGGAGAACCGGTAGCAAAAATCCCTGCGCCACCCCCCCCACCATGCCCAGCTGAGCCGCACGATCATTAGAGGCTTTTTTTTTTTTACTTTTAAAAGCATTTTTTCTACAACCTCTTCCAACGAAAAAATGCTTTTAAAAGTAAAAAAAAAGCCTCTGATGATCGCGCGGCTCAGCTGGGATCGTCAGAGGCTTTTCGAAGCATTTTTTTCTGCAACCTCTTGGCCGAAGAGGTGGTTTAAAAAATGCTTTGAAAAGTCTCTGACGATCTCAGCTGAGTTGCCTGATCAGCAGAGGCTTTTCAAAGCATTAGAAAAAATGCTTTGAAAAGTTAAAAAAAAAAAAAAAAAGTTGGCCACGCCCACCCAGTCACATTACCCCACCACCAAGCCACGCCCACAGAACCGGTAGTAACAAATTTTACATTTCACCCCTGATTGGCTTACCTTCTCTGACATCATCCCAACGGTGCTTTTTCCAAACGGCAACTGGTTTTTTTCCTTGAAGACATTTAGCTTCTCATCCAGGAAGCTTCTTTAGTTGTTCTTTGAAAGGTTTTCAAAGAAAGAAAAACAAGAAGGTCCAGTTGCCTTTTGGGAAAAAAAAACACCTTTGGGACAACCAAAACTTGGATGATTGAGAATCTCCATAGACTTCTCTGACGTCACAGCTGCTTTGAACAGGCATAATCCTTATTTAATTGGACTTAAGAGCAGAGAGAATAGCCGCGGTGATGTTTTATTTATTTATTTAAAGATATTGCACTTCTGAAAGCGTTCCTGTGTAATGTTTCATTTTCTAGTAACCTAGGATTGTTTCCATTTCTGTAAATTATGCAGCATCTTAGTTCACTGTTATTATTTTTTTTAAAAAAAATACAGCCTGCCCACTAGTTAAAAAAAAAAAAAGCATCTTGTGACTCGTGACGTTTCAGGATAAAAGCAAAAAAAAACCCAGTAACACTACATACATGCATTTTTATTTATCCAACATTTCCTTTTGGGTAAACATTATGCAAGGCATAGAAAGCGACCCAGGAGTAGTAAACAAAATAAATTAAAAACAGGAGGGAAAAAAAAAAGAACTTTAATTTAATTTCGTTTACCCGAGCATCATTCCCTAAAACTTTCCACATTTCTCAGCCTGAGAAACCAAACTTGCTTTCTATACAACCACACACGGATTCATATAATGCCTTTCATGTAATTCACATTATATCTTCAGTTCAGCCACACAGTGTTTATAATAAGACGGACAGATAATCACGTAGCGTATCAAGAGGAAACAGTTTTCAGATGTTAGGTCCCAGATGTGCGAATGGAAGGTCAATCATCAAAAAGCAGGAACTAACCAAATGTGGCCTCTGGGAAAAGGGAGTTCAAAGACAGACCACCGCAAGAGATGCTGTGGCCTAGAGGTGGAGCTCTTGCCTCACAATCAGGAGGTTGTGAGTTCGATCCTAAGGAGAGGCAGATGTAGGGTCTCTTGCTTGGGCAGGGGGTTGAACTAGATGACCTGCAAGGTCCCTTCCAATGGTGGGTTCTAACCGGCTTTACTACCGGTTCTCTTCGTGCACGCGCTTCGTGCACGATCGCCTCTTCGTGCAAGTGCTTCGCTGGGCTAAAAAAGAAGAAATAAAAAGTAAGAATAACGTGGGGGCGGGCGGGCGGGCAGGAGGGCCCAGCTCCCGAACAAAGAGAACCGGTTCGGTGATGTCATATCGTCACCGCTACTGGCTCGGCCGAACCGGGCTGAACTGGGAGGAACCCACCACTGGTCCCTTCCAACTCTGTTAATCTGTAAATGAAGTTCCTGATGGATTTTTCCCCAGCTATGGGACAATACCACCATTCCCCCAGACCTTAATCTTCCATACCAGGAGAGATGTTTATTCAAGTCTTAGCCTCCTAATTAAGGACCAACATTGCCACAAATTAGATTGGAAGTGCCTTTTTTTTCCCCTAATGAATCCAGGAAGGTAACAGCAGCAGCTCAGAAACAGCTTGGCCGCCTGGGACACATAAGCAACATCTACTTGCATCCAGGAATCCAAGAATATGCCGAGAAACTGACTTCACTGCTTCCTGGCTCCTTAAAGGTGTGTCAGGTTGGGCATCTTCAGGACTTCTTCAGAGGGTTTGGGGTGGGTGCATGTCGTGAATGTCATTTATGCAGAGGGAAAAGGAACTGGGTCCTCATATCGAAATTGGATAACTTCGTTTATGAGTTATGGTGACAGTTGGAGAGTTGGAGCCGTGGAAAATGCAAAATATATATTCGACATGATAGAAAATATTTGTAGCTTGGGTGGTAGATGTTGGTGGTGGTTTGTTCACTGAGCTTGCTGTTTAGCTTCCGAATGTTCAAGGATGCTAGGTGACATCCTTAGCGGGACTTCGGTTGAAGCATTTTATGAGCCGTGGTGGGGCAGTGGTTAGAGTGCAGTATTGCAGGCTACATCTGCTGTCTGCCGGCTGCCTGCAATTTGGCAGTTCAAATCTCACCAGGCTCAGGGTTGACTCAGCCTACCACCCTTCCGAGGTCAGTAAAATGAGGACCCAGATTGTTGGGGGCAAGAGGCTGACTCTGTAAACCGCTTAGAGAGGGCTGTAAAGCAGTATATAAGTCTAAGTGCTATTGCTATTTCAGTTCTCTACTTTTATTGATCTTATGTGGTTAGTGGGTCATGTGACTGGCTGGTCATGCCATGTGGCTGGCTGATCATTATGTGTGAAGGTCACTGAGTGAAGAGGTTATCGGTGCCATCATTGGTTGGTCGCTTGATTGATATGGCTCCTTAGTCTAGCTCCAAGTCAACATGTTGACAGATCCATCGGTTGAATACCAGGCTTCATTGAATTCATGCATGTGGCATGTGGTGGCATTTTTGTTCCGGACCTTCACACATAATGACCATCCAGTCACACGCCATATCACATGGCATGACCAGTTGGTCACATGACCCACCAACCACACAACCACACGTGATCAATAAAAGCAGAGAAGAAATGAAACAAGACGCTTCAACCAAAGTCACGCAGAGGATGTCATCTAGTCTGGTGATGAAATGTTCAGAAGCTTCCCTGACTTGCCTGATCGGCAGAAGCTTTTTTTTTTTTTAAAGCCTCTGACGATCCCAGCTGACTTGCCTGATCGGCAGAGGCTTTTTTTCCTTTTAAAAACATTTTTTCTATAACCTCTTCGGCCAAAGAGGTTGTAGAAAAAATGCTTTTAAAAGCCTTTGACCATCCCAGCTGAGCCGTGCGATCATCAGAGGCTTTTTTTTTTTTACTTTTAAAAGCACTTTTTCGGCCAAAGAGGTTGTAGAAAAAACGCTTTTAAAAATTAAAAAAAAGCCTCTAATGATTGCGCGGCTCAGCTGGGCAATGGGGGGGGGAACATGGATTTTTGCTACCGGTTCTCCGAACCACCCGCCTCCATTGCTACCGGATCGAGTGATCCGGTCCAAACCGAGAGCATTTCACCCCTGCTTATAACCATTGCAGCATTCCCAGGGTCACTTGATCAAAATCCAGATGTTTGGCCACTGGCTCATATTTAAGGTAATAATTGCAGTGTCCTGGGGTCATATGATCATGTTTGTGACCTTCTAACAAGCAAAGTTAATGTGAAGCCAGTTTCGCTTTGCAACCAGATTACTAAAGCTTAACAAGAAAAGTCATGAAATGGGACAAAACTCACTTAACAACTGTCTTGCTTAGCAGCAGATATTTTGGGCTCAATTGTGGTTGTAAGTTGAGGACTACCTGTACAATAACTTTGCACTGCACCAGGTTGGATTGGTAATTGTGCATCAGTTTAGATATGTGGCAGCTTCGGTCTCTTCTCTAACAATGTATTTTCGTCACAATCTTTGTCATAGGTAGCCTATCTGACTAATAGTGGTACTGAAGCCAACGATCTGGCATTGTTAATAGCAAGACTTTTCACCCGCAACAATGACGTCATTTGTTTGAGGTAATTCTCTTCTGTGCAATTGTGATTTATTTATTCTCTTCAGTGGCTTCTCTGTTCTCTCTAGCAGATCTCCCATAAACGGCTTGTAGATATTCATGCCAAAGAATTTCTATCCCACAACCTTCTTCTAATCAAAACTTTCTCCTGAGATGCTATAAATCCCTTTTTAATATAATAAATATTAAATGTTATTTGATTCTGCATTGTTTTTCTACTACCTGGCCTTTCTTATACTAAACAGATCATTGGTAAATAATTCAAATTTATTTATTTAGTGTATGGCAATGGTACATTAGCCAGAAGACTACAGTATTTATATAGTAATATAATATATATATATTAGTCTGTTTGGTTCACCTGCCCGCACTATCCAGAAGTGCACCACATGAGATAAACTAGTTCCACACTCAAAATGGCAACAGCGGTTTTCAGTGTCATCTGGGGCTTTTTCCCTCCACTGATGTCACCTCGCATTCAGGCATTGCCTTGGGCAGGTCCGGCACCAGTTGGATTCATACTTCTGTATGGAGTGCCTTATTTTTCCCACCGAAGTGGTAACTATTTATCTACTTGCATGTAACATGCTTTTGAACTGCTAGGTTGGTGGGAGCTGAGGCAAGCGACGGGAGCTCACCTACCCTGTTTCCTCCAAAATAAGACATCCCCTGATAATAAGCCCAATCGGGCTTTTGAGCGCATGGCAATAAGGCCAAGCGCTTATTTCAAGGTTCAGAAAAATATAAGACAGAGTCTTATTTTCGGGGAAACACGGTAGTTACATGGTGCTAGGACTCAAACCGCCAGAGCACAGATCTTCTCCAGTGTCTTTAAGCCACAGAACCACCCACGCCTCTCAATAATTCAAAATATGTAGTCTAATAATGAAAGCTAATAATGAGGAAATATATGAAGTAGCCTTATGAAATATCTGTTCAAATATTCATATTTTCCTAAAACCAATGTTGGAATAAGGGCATGCAACCATACCTGACCTGCTCCAAAATATATGAGATCAATAAATCTGGTACAATTTTAGCAATATCACCCGTAACCCTTATAACCTATCAACATTCTCATGAAAAATCTGAGAAAATCTAGTGCAGTATTACCATCTGTAATTTTATATCAGCTTTGGAAAGCTGGGGCCAACATATATGGAAACCTTGACAGTCGTGAGTGCTGAATTGGCAATTCCTGCTCTAGACCACTCACGTTTAAAAGGAACTGATAATGATCTGGTCTATCCTCCATCAAAGATACGAAAAGAAGCCACTACACAGGTGTACAGTCTAAACTAAAACAGTGTCTGTAATGGACAGAGCAAATCCTGTCCATTACATGATTCAAGTTTCATTGAATCAACTAACTGGTCCTCAAACTGGATATTCAAAACGAATTAGGAAAACTTTCATGAACTAAACCCGCTATTAGTAATGCAAACTTTTACCGGGAAATAGTAACTTCCCTTCTTTATATTGTTCTTGAAATCCCCTTCTAATCCACTTCTAGAAGATTTCCTAGCCTTCCTAAAACACATTTGATTGATTTGGAGGCACATATTTGATATGCCAATTGCATTGGTCCACTGGCAGAAGGAAACCATTAGATACAGAAGGAAGTCAAGAAGAGAGGATGTTTTAATAAAGAAGAGTTGCCAAGAGCAGGCAACTTGACAAAAACATATTCCACTGAACAAGAGTTCTTTGCAAGGGTGAAATCCAGCAGGTTCTGACAGGTTCTGGAGAACCGGCAGCGGAAATTTTGAGTAATTTGGAGAACCGGCAAATACCACCTCTGGCTGGCCCCAGAGTAGGGTGGGAATGGAGATTTTGCAATCGTTAAGGAATAACCCTTGAGTAGCAAGGGTGTGCACATGAAAGCGGTTGAGAGTAGTTATGAATAAGCCCAGTCACCACACAGATACATTGAGTCGTATTATAGTTTACACAGTCCAATAAACAAAGTCTTCATACCAGTCATATTAACCATACACAGTAAACAGATCTTCTAGAGTTGCAAACAACAAGACAGTAAGCCGGATAGAGATATCAGAGAGCAAGAACAACAAAGAGAACAAGCCATGTTTCTAGCTCCCTCTTAAGGACATTGGGCAATAGAGCTAACCAATCAGTACACAGTATGATGCAATACAGCAGTCTTAAAAGTTATACAATGCAATACAATATAATGCAAACATACTGTCAAGTTTCGAGGTCGTCTCAAATAAATTGCATTTCAAACAAAGTCTTTGAAGAAAACTCCCATTTATTAAGCACGACATTCTAAATCCGATTCCATCGCAGCCAACACTGACTTTCAGACCCAAAACCCCCTAATCTACTGCTCCAGCTCAAAGGAATTTCCCCCCTCCCATCCCATCTCCTAGGGGATATTATCTCCAGGGAAAATAAGTAGGTGAAAAGTCAAACATCCCTTTCCAGACACCTCCGCTTCTCCTTCTTATGTCAGCACTAGAATAAATGCAGCTTGAAGTGCTGACATATACATTGATGGTTTATATATTGCCAACCCAACAAGTTAGGTAATAGTCATATTCCTAACAGCAATATCCTTCCCCCAGGAGTGGGGAGGGAATGGGGATTTTGCAGTATCCTTCCCCTGCCACGCCTACCAAGCCCACAGAACCGGTAGTAAATAAATTTGGATTTCACCACTGGTTCTTTGAGTGTCAGAAATGTGTCATTTTTTTTTTTTTTGCAGTTACCACAACTTCTGAGATTCTAAATATATAGAAAGTTTAGCAGAGAAATTAATCACCCTAAGGTTGAAAATATGATGGTTTTCTTTCTGCAGGGGCGGCTACCATGGAGGTAGTACCTATACTATGGGCATCACAGCCATTGGAAAGTACAAACATGGTGTTGCCAACGGAGCCAACTGCCACTCGGTAAGTACCTTACTTTGTTTTTGGGGGCAGGATGTGTTTTTGGAACATTTTGGACATATTCCTGACTGATGTTAGTATTGCTGGTACAGATAATTCTCAACTAATGACCACAACTGAGGCTAAAATTTCTGATGCTAAGCAAGATCGTCGTTAAGTGAGTTTTGCCCCATTTTATGACCTTTCTTGCCACAGCTGTTAAGTGAATTTGGCTTCCCTATTGACTTTGCTTGTCGGAAGGATTGCAAAAGGTGATCATGTGACCTGGGGGGGGTCACTGCACCCCTCATAAATATGAGCCAGTTGCCAAGCTTCTGAATCTTGATCATGTGACCATGGTGATGTTGCAATGGTTGTAAGTGTGAAAAACATTCATAAGTCACTTTTGTTCAGTGCCATTGTAACTTTGAATGGTCACTAAACGAACTGTTGTAAGTCAAGGACTCTCTGCATTGGATCTTATCTGCTTTGGTATTACTACTCAATCATGAAGAATGAAAAGAGAGTTCAGTTTTCAAGAAGTTGTGCAGATTGATGCTAAACGCAACAAGAAGTGTCTTCTTGTCACTTGGTGGGCTATTCCTATTGCCACGTCGAGCAAAATAGCTGTGTTTGAAATGAATTGACTCAAGTATTTTGTTGATTCATGAGCCAGATCAAAATCTGCACTTTTAAAAAAGGGCTATAGGAAAGTACTTTAATACAATTCTCTCCTGACTTGGATGAAATATTGAGGTCTTCATCAACCTCAGTTTCCTTATTTATGTTCTTCTTGGGATACCATAGGCCAGGGGTCAGCAACCTGCGGCTCTGGAGCCGCATGTAGCTCTTTCATCCCTCTGCTGCGGCTCCCTGTTGCTGGTCGGCTCCACAATTGATAGGGCTTTCAGTTAGGACAGGTAGAGGAAAAAGGACACCGTGCTAGGAAGGAGACTCTATGGTGGGGAAACCGGACTTCTGGTCGGCTCCAGAATTGGAATGGGGGGCTTCCGGTTAGGACTTTGTGGCTCTTTGAGTGTTTAAAGTTGCCGACCCCTGCCATAGGCTGACCTTCCTTTTTGCACATCTCGTCAGTCAATCTTGCCTTGTGATCCCAAGTTGTATTGTCTAAAGCAGGGGTATCAAATTCAATTTCATTGAGGGTTGCATCAGGGTTGTGTTTGACCTCGGGGGGCGGGGGGGGCGAGGTGTGTGTGGCCAAGGTGGATATGGCCAGCTCGACGTCACTCATACTGGAGGCACCTGTGGTGGCCAAATGCTAAGGCAGAACTTCCCTCAGATCCTCCTTCCCTCTCATTATAATCCCCTTCCTTCCTTCCTTCCTTCCTTCCTTCCTTCCTTCCTTCCTTCCTTCCTTCCTTTTTTCCTTTTTCTTCTTTTTCCTTCCCTCTTCATTCTCCTTTCTTCTTCTTTCCCCTCTTTCCTTATTTTTCCTTCCTTGCTCTCTTCCCATCTTTCCTTCTTTGTCTTTTCTCTTTCCCTTTCTCCTTTCCTGTCCCTTCTTGGATATTCAAATGCAAAAGTGGAAACATTTCTCCTTTTGTTTTGTTTTTACTTTGTTTTGCTAGCTCTCTGCCAGTGAAAACAGAGCCGGCCCCCGAGTTCCATTTTCTCTGGCAGAGGGCTGCAGGAGGCCATTGTGGCTGAAAATGGAGCCTGGGAGGGCTATGCGTGCCCCTCCCAAGATCCGTTTTCACTGGCAGAGGCACAGCGGGCCAGTCCTTTGCTGTTTCCAGGGCAGCCCTGCGGGCCGGATCTAAGCACCCCACGGGCCGCATCCAGACCCCAAGCCTTGAGTTAAGACACCCCTGGCCTAAAGGCTCCAACTCTAATGGGGATGGAACACAGAAGCTTCTTCATGTCATGCTCCATCAACATGATTAGATGTCCTGCACAGGCTATCCATATTTTAAGATGCTGTGCATCAGGGGTGGGTGCTATTTTTCAGGTGGCACATCAGAACCAAAGCATGAGTGGGATCAGATGCAAAAGTGGATATAGCCAGGATTATAGGTGGGCAACTTAAAAAACTTTAAAAAACCTTTTGAGACTTTTAAAAAGTATTTGAAAATTCTTATTGTGTACTTTGATCCTTTCATTTAATGGTAGCAGTTGTGCCTCCAATGTGGCACCTGGGAGCTATATAATGTTATTAGTATCCACCAAACTCCCTACTCTAATATTACACTCTAGATTCCTTAAATGAAAAAAAGAAAATAATCTAGCATATTACAAAGATAAGAATCAAGTGGAAGCATAATTATATTTCCAACTATCCTGCTGAGCCCAGTAGCATCCATAAAAATGAAACGATAGGTAGTAAAATCCCATATTTTATTTGTCTTCTGATAATGGATGTTTTGCATTTGGCTACACCAACAAGGTTTAAAGTTGGCCAGGTGGGCCTCTCTGATTTTCATGCTGAGAAAACTTGTTTTATAAACAAGGGATTAAATGGTGAGGTCTCTAGGTTCATCTTTATCTCTCTTTGCTATATTAGTTCTGTCTTTTCTTGATGAATTTACTTCTTAAAATTCTAGCACACTCAAGTATGCTATGGTGGAGTAATGACCCACATTGGGTCTGTTGTTTCTTTAGACAATGTTGCCTGATGTTTTCCGTGGTCCCTGGGGAGGAAGCCACTGTCGTGATTCTCCGGTGCAAACTATTCGAAAGTGCTCCTGTTCCTCAGGTTGGTTAGTAAGGAAAATCCTCTTGATTTTTCACAATTCCACATTTATGTGGAACATCATATGCGCTGTCTCCGACGAATTCTTGGCATCACCTAGCATGACAAAGTTCCAAATAGCGCAGTCTTGGAACGTGCTGGAATTTCTAGCATGTATACACTATTGAAACAGTGACGTCTACACTGGCTGGGGCATGTTGTGAGAATGGCTGATGGTCGGATTCCGAAAGATCTCCTGTATGGAGAATTAGTGCAGGGAAAGCGGCTCAGAGGGAGACCACAGCTGCGATATAAGGATATCTGCAAGAGGGACCTAAAGGCCCTGGGAATGGACATTAACAACTGGGAAACCTTGACCTCTGATCGTTCAGCTTGGAGGCTAAAGACGCAGCATGGCCTTCTCCAATTCGAAGAGACACTTGTTTGACAGGCTTAGGCAAAGAGGTAGTCCCGGAACCAGCGAAATCTGGGGGCTGGGCAGGGGACAGAATGTATCTGCCCTCAGTGTGGAAGGGATTGCCACTCTCGAATTGGCCTTTTTACTCACACTAGATGCTGTTTTAGGATCTTTTTCCAGAGCATGGTACCATAGTCTCTTGAGACTGAAGGATGCCAATGATGACGTTTATGGCTTTTTACAGGATCCCACGATCATGTGAGCATGATTTAAAACATTTTTTTTTGCCTGAAACTGCATTTACTTCTAGTTTCTGGCAAAAAATGTCCACTGCAGACAATGGATTTGCTTAACTGCAGTGTTCACTTAGCAACTACCTCATTCACTTTACAACCAACACAACAAAGTTGTAAAATTGGGTATGGTCACATGCTGATCCATCCGCTTGACAATCAACGCAACTTACAACTGTAATTCCAGACCCAAATCCAGTCATTAGTTCAGGACTACGTATAAGTGTCAGGATGTATTTAATTAGCTCTCCATTGTGGAATCCTTCCTAACATTGAGTTGGTGCTGTATACCCATCCTTTTTCAACAGAAATTCACTAGGATGAAATTCGTTTTCCCCATGATCGGTCCTTCTCCTGCTTCTCCTGTGTCTCTTCCCAATCCCTACCTAGATAGCAATAGCACTTAGATTTATATACCGCTTCACAGTGCTTTAAGCAGTTTACAGAGTCAGCCTATTGCCCCCAAACAATCTGGGTCCTCATTTTACCCACCTCAGAAGGAAGGAAGGCTGAGTCACCCTTGAGCCTGGTAAGATTTGAACTGCCAAATTGCAGCCAGCCGGCAGTCAGCAGAAGTAGCTTGCAGTACTGCACTCTCACCACTGCGCCACCACATAGTGGTGAAGGCAACATCATTTGATTTGGCCAAAAAAGGATGTTAGCAAAATTAACTTCATGCTACATTGAGCCAATTGGGGAAACGCCTTTTGGCATTTTAGGGCCGTGATGTTTCTTACATAAATAATAGCCTTAAAATAATCAGCATGTTGCTCCCCCCCACTCTCCCAATACAGGAACCTGCCACGCTAAAGACCAGTACATTGCGCAATTCAAGGACACACTCCAAACTTGTGTTCCAAAAAAAGTTGCTGCTTTTATTGCTGAGCCAATTCAAGTAAGTGGGTTTTTATATAAAAAAAATAGGTTGCAAGGACCTAAAACTTGTCAGTGCTCTTTCCAACACAGTTCAGTTCATACTATGCTTGATTCTTAATGGGTGCAATGGCTCAGTGGTTATAGATCCATGATGGCGAACCTATGGCATGCGTGCCAGAGGTGGCACACAGTGCCCTCTCTGTGGGCACGTGAGCTGTTGCCCCAGTTCAGCTCTGCCGCGCATGTGCAGACGCCTCCTGCCGGCCAGTAGTCTTCAGGTCTCTGCCGTTCATGCGCGGGGGGCGGGGCACATGCAGGGGGGCACGTGCACATGCGTGGTGGGCAGAGCACATGGGGGATGCATGCGCATGCATGGGGAGTGGGATGCATTCAGGGGGGCCGTGCGTGCATGCATGGGGGCAGGACACATGAGCCGGGGCCACACGCACATTGGATTTTGGGGGTTCGGGCGTGCTTTTGGCACTCGGTTCAGAAAAGGTTAGACATCACTGTTACAGATGCTGAGCTTGTCAGCTGGAAAGCTGATAGCCAAGGTTTGAGACCCCAGTGCTACATGATGAGGTGAGCTCCCATTACTGTCTTAGCCTTCTGTGTCTACCTGTGTAGGAGGATTCACACTTTTATTATATGCTCACACTTTCTGCATTCCTGTTCTCCTATCCAGATAATCTACTAATAAAGGAGAATATTTGTAGCTCACGGTTAAAATGAGGGGTCTTTGGCGCTCTCTGAGCTTGCTTATTTTCTTGCAGACATTTCATTCCCCAAACTAGGTAACATCATCAAGACTAGCACTGATGATGTTACCTAGTTTGGGGAATGAAACTTCAGCAAAAAACAGGTAATTGGATGAAAGGAAAATAAATTCAACAGTGCCATCTCCTGGTTGTGTGGAATGAAGTGCATCACTAGGACTACAGCAATTATGCAAGGTGTAAATGGTGATCACATGATCCCGGATACTAGAGAAACCACAATTGCAATACTGCATGCAATTCTGGTCATCATGACACAAAAAAGACAATGAGAACTTGGAAAGTGTGTAGAGAAGAGCAAAAGGGTGATAATGGGCCTGGAGGCTAAATTTTATGATAAACATTTGTGGGAGCTAGTTATGTCTAGCCTACCGAAGAGAAGGATTAGGAGGGACATGATAGCTATCTCCATAATACCTGAGGGGCTGTTGAGAGTGGATTGACTTATTGTTTAGGGCGGGTGTCGGCAATCCGCGGCTCCAGAGCCGCATGTGACTCTTTGATCCTTCTCCTGCAGCTCCCTGCCGACCTGGTCACGCAATTGAGAAAGAGAGAAGGGGGAGAGAGAGGGGGAGAGGAGAGAGAAATGAGAGAGAGCTGGAGGGAGAGAATAAGAGAGAGGGAAAAGAGAGGGAAACAAATGAGAGAGATAAGGGGGAGAGAAAGGAAGAAAGAGAAAGAAAGAAAAAGAAAGAAAGAAAAAGAAAGGAGAGAGAGGGAGAGGAAAAAGAGAGAAAAACAGAAATGAGGGAGGGAATGAGAGAGGGGGAGGGGGGGAGGAAGATAGATCTATTTCCCACAGAAAACACTGGGAACCACAAAACCTGGGTAAGCGTGGCTGCGGGGGTCATGTGACTGGATGGGAGTGATGTTGAGTTGGCCACGCCCACCCAGGTTTTGTGACTCCCGGTGTTTTCTTTTCTGTGGGAAAGTGGTCCAAATGGCTCTTTGAGTGTTTAAGGTTGCAGATCCCTGGTTTAGGGCATCAGAGATCAGGACACGAAATAATGTGTGGAAGCTTATCAAGAAGAGATCTAACATAGAAGCAAGTATAACATTTCTGACAGTGAGAGCAATTGATCAATGGAATAGGTTGTCTTTGAGTTATGGGTGCTCCATCCCTGGAGGTTTTCAAAAATAGACTGGATGACCGTTTGACTGGGGTGGCACGAGACCAACTGTCTTGAGCAGGCAGTTGGACCAGAAAACCTCCGCGATCCCTTCCAGCCCTATGATTCTGTGTGGAATTTTCTTCCATGAAAGGAAGGTCACCATTTCCTTTGATCCTGTCTGTCTGCTTTCTCTAGGGAGTAAATGGAGCCGTTCAGTTTCCCAAAGGATTCTTAAAGGAGGCTTATCAGTTGGTGCGTGAAAGGGGAGGTCTCTGCATTGCAGACGAGGTAAATACCTGAATGTGACTCCCGCCTCCAGATTTTATGTGCAGCGTTTCTACCAGGACAGCTATTTGAGATATCATTGGAAGAGCAAAAGGCTTGGACTGGCGGGGTCACTGGGATTGGGACTCTACAAAACATTTGAAGAGGACTTTGCAAAACAAGTTAGCCTGAGGGAACTATCCAGTGGTGAAATCTAAAATTTGTTACTACCGGTTCTGTGGGCGTGGCTTGGTAGGGGGGTAATGTGACTGGATGGGCGTGGCCAATTTTTTTTTGTTTACTTTTAAAACCATTTTTTCTACAACCTCTTGAGGTTGTAAAAAAATGCTTTCAAAAGGGTCTGACAATCCCAGCTGAGTTGCCTGATCGTCAGAGGGTTTTTAAAAAACTCACTGCCGATCAGGCAACTCAGCTGGGATCGTCAGAGGCATTTAAAAGAAAAAAAAAAACTTTTCTCTTTTAAATGGCTCTGACGATCCCAGCTGAGTTGCCTGATTGGCAATCAGGCAACTCAGCTGGGATCGTCAGAGCTTGGATCGTCAGAGGCATTTAAAAGAAAAAAAGCCTCTGATGATCACAAGGCTCAGATGGGCATGGGGGGGAGGGATTTTTGCTACCGGTTCTCGGAACCACCCGCCTCCATCGCTATCGGATCGGGCAATCCGGTCCAAACCAGGAGCATTTCACCCCTGGAACTATCCCTCCTACAACTAAAGTAGTCGGTGTGTCTTCTAGAAACGAATGGAAAACAAAGGCAGAACAAAATTTAAACTTGGGAGAAGTGGGTGGTGTTTTCTCTAAGGACTTTACCATACACAGATTTCAGTTTGGAAGCCACTTCTGTGTAAGAACAGCTGATGAAATACTGGCATGCATGTAGTATATCTGACAGTGAAACCAAAGGTGTTTTTTTTCAAAAGGCAACTGGACTTTCTTGAGATTTTTCCTTTGAAAAGGTTCCATTTCATATCCAGAAAGCTTCTTCAGAACTTCTTCTTCAGAAGAAAAAGCTTCTTTAATGAGAAGCGAAATGTTTTCAAAGAAAAAACAAAACAAAACCCCACTTGCCTTTGAGGGAGAAAAATACACCTTTGGGATAACCATGACCTGGATGATTGAGAATCTCTTATCAAACCTGACAGTGAACAGACACAATTTCCTATCAGGAAACAATTGCCTTAAAATATAGATGCTACTTACCGTATTTTTCGGAGTATAAGACGCACCGGAGTATAAGACGAACCTACTTTTTTTGGTGAGGAAAAGAAGAAAAAGAAATCTCTCTCTGCTTCTGAGCAATTTTGCCTCATTGCAGCAAACAACAAACAGCCTGCTTTACTTTCATTTTCGTTTTCAGCATAGCTTGATTAGCACAAGGGAAAAAAAACTTGCTCCAGCAATTTACCTCCTTGCAGCAAGCAGCAGAGGCCCGCACAAAACAGCTGAGCGCTGAGAGTTGGGAGGCCGATCCAATCAACTTGTGCTAATTAGGCTGTGCTGAAGCTGAAAGGAGCTGTTTTTTCTTGCTGTTTGCTTGCAAGGAGGTAACTGCTGCGAGGCAGAGGCCGAAGGGTGAGGGCCAGTGGGTGGGCGGGGCTACATTCGGTGTATAAGACGCACCTAAATTTTCACCCCCTTTTAGGGGGGAAAAAGGTGCATTTCATACTCTGAAAAATACGGTATATAGAGAAACTCTATAGCAGGGTGTCCAACCTTGGCAACTTTAAGATCCATGGACTTCAACTCCCAGATTTCCCCAGCCTGCCATGCTCTAAACCAGAGGTGTCAAACTCAAGGCCCGCAGGTTGGAAAATTTGGCCTGTGGGGTCACCCTGGAAACAGCAAAGGACCGGTCTGTGGTGCCTCTGCCAGTGAAAACGGAGCTTGGGAGAGCCACAAATAGCCCCCCTGAGCTCCATTTTCACTGGCAGAAGGCTGCAGAAGGCCTGCTGAAAATGGGGCCCAGGGGTTGCCTGCACCCCCACAAGCTCCATCTTTGCTGGCAGAGGGCCATGCCCACCCCGCCCCATCCACGCCTACCCGGCCCCCGAAGTCAAACACGAGCCTCATGTGGCCCTCAATGAAATCGAGTTTGATACCCCTGCTCCAAACCTTTTTAAAGCACCTTTTCTTTGCTCCCTGAAGGTTCAGACTGGATTTGGTCGAACGGGCAGCCATTTCTGGGGATTTCAAGGACACGGTGTCGTTCCAGACATAGTTACCATGGCCAAAGGAATTGGTAACGGCTTTCCCATGGCAGCAGTTGTGACTACAGCGGGTAAGAACTGCTTGGTGAATAACCTTTTCACGCACAAGGTCTGGAGGTGCAGGTGAGGCCACATAGGAGGTGCAATCACATCAAAGTGAAAGAAAGGTCGGGTAATTCTCTGTTGTTTTTCTGGGTTGGAGAGGAATTTTGAGGTTTTCTTCCCCAACAATGTTATACGTTCCTTAAGGCTATGTTCCTGCTTCAAAATGGCAGGATACCATTCCACAGTTTTCCACCATCATTTTTCCAGAGATCTGGAGGGCTATGAAAAAGAATTTTGGTTGCATGTTATCCTTGACCTTAGCATGTACACTCATTATTATTATTTTAAAGTTTTTTATTAGTAGTTCAAAATTAAAAACATTGGACATAGATATGACATCACTGGTTCCAAGCATCTTCCATTAATACATAATATACTAATGATAATATAATAATATATTCCTTACACCTTATATGTTATTTATAGTGTAATAATAATAATTTATACCTTATTCCTATACAATTATATATATCTATACCTACATATATCTATCTATACAATTCACATACATATTTATCTATAATAACGTATATAATTCTAGTCTAACACTACACATTTGTCTCCGCTATCCTTTTATCTAACCATTCATAGAATTTTGCCCAGATTTTATAGTACAATGTTTTGCTTTTATCCTTGAGTTCCAAGGTGAATCTATCCATTTCTGCGCAGTTTTTTAAAAAAAATTTGATTTATATGTCGCCCTTCTCCGGAGACTCAGGGCCGCTTACAGTGTGTTAAGCAATAGCCTTCATACTTTTGTATATTTTATACAAAGTCAGCTTATTGCCCACACAAACTGGGTCCTCAATTTACCTACCTTAGAAAGGATGGAAGGCTGAGGCAACCTTGAGCCTGGCAAGATTCGAACTTACTTTAATTGCAGACAGCTGGTGTTAAATTACAATGCCTTGTCTGCAGAGCTATCCAGTATTTTTAGTAGTATTTCCTCTTCGGTTGGGGTATCTTTCTCTTTCCACTTGTGCGCAAAGGCTATCTGTGCCGCTATAAGTATATGCACTGGTAGATAATTTACCGGTATGTCTTTCGTGTATTTGCCCTCTGTCATTCCCAAAAGGAAAAATTCAAGTTTGACTTCTATGTTTATTAACAAAATTTCTTCCAACCAACTTTTTATCAGATTCCAATATTTCTTTGCCTTTGGGCAAGTACACTCATTATTACTGAACACGCATGAGAGAATAAATTTTGCTGGATGAGTAGAATTTTATCTCATATAGAGAAAAATCACAAGCAAACACTCCGAATGGACTCTATTAATTGGTCACTGACTCTAATTCTTATTCTGTTGCTCTCTTGTTCGTTTTCCCTTTCCTGCCCGTGTCTCAGCTGGGGTTTATAAAAATGCTGTCACTACAATGTTCTGTTAATAGGATAAACCGAACTGCGATTCATGTATGCTTATGAAATAATTGTGTTATTCTTTAAGGGTTACCCTATGACTTTATTATAACAGATGTAATCTCCAGTCAACAGCAGCTGGCCCGCAATATAATCGTACACTTTTCTTCCATTATGTTCCACCTGCCTATTTTAAATTAAAATAAATGTTTCAAAGATGCTATCAGTTTTTATTCCACTCTCAATCAACAGAAACTAAACCCCAAAGCCCCTATTCTATTAAATTTTCATATTTCTAGGAAGCAGCCAGTCATAAATTTTATAATCATAAGTTTAAAATGCAAAAAGATTAGGCAAATATAGTTGAATGACTGGGAATCTCCACAGACATGGTTGAATGAGGTTATTCTGATCACCATGGAATTGTCTTTTTCGTTTTTGCAGCTGCCTTAAGTCAGGGGTATGAAAATGAACTGATAGAATTGCAGTGATTAATTGTCAAATAATAATGTGATACTGTAGTTTTTTGGATACCTTGACTGGAAAAAAAATAAATAATTATTTTTTAATGCAATCTGGCTTGCTTCTGGTTTTGCAGTGTAAACAAATCTAGTTCAAATGCATAATTCAGCCTATTAATTCAGGTGAATTGAATGAATGAATGACTTTGCATTAGACGATGGGCACCTGTCTCTGGTATTTGCATAAACCAAAGAAACCTTTAGATAAAAATCATTTTAAGTGGAAAGGGCTTTGACTGCATACAAACTTACTGTCAGTCTGACCCACTGAATATTGAGAGCACAGGTTCACAAACAATCTTCTGAGTCACTATGGTTAACACTGAGGTTCCAATTACAGTTAGTCCTCAACTTACAACTGAAGTTGGGACCAGAATTTCCATTGTGAAACAAAGAGGTTGTTAACCGAATTGCATCCAATTTTATGACCTTTATTGCCACAGTTATTAAGCAGATCTCTGCAGTTGTTAAATGAATCCTACAGTCTTTAAGCAAATCCGGTTTCTCCCTGTTGACTTTGCTTGTTGGACGCAAGCTGGGAAGATTGCAGACAATTACTTGTCCCTGGGACACTGCAACCATCATACTATGGTCTTGTTCTGACCCGGCTCCCCAAACACGACAAACCCGCTATAGTTGAAGCAATGATTCCTTTATTAGGAGCGCCAGCAGCCCCAGCAAAAGGTTTCTCTCTCACAGCAAGCTAACAAGTCTGTCCGGCAGGGAGATGAATAGTTGTCTGCCACATCTATTCATCTCTACCCCTTGCCTTTTATCCGCAGAGCTAGGATGGGGCTTCGCTAGCAGCGGTGGCTCTTCCATCCCAAGGATCAGCCCATAGATTTCCACTGCTCTCCTCTCCTCTTCGCATCTCTGCATCAGGCACAGCTGTTCCTCCTTTTCCTCATCAGCCACCTCCAGACCTGGGGCTGTTGACTCTCCATCTGAGGGCTGACGGACGGCCCCAGACTCCACCTCTGTCTCTCTCTCTCTCTCTCTGACAATTCCATTCCCTCTTCCCTCTCGGAGTTCTCAGGTTGCCTTAATGTTGACCCTGACTCCCATTCCTCCTCCTCATCTGATTCGGCTGCTGGAGGGGCCGGCGGCCAACCCTCCACAACAGGTCTGATCATTAATATGCATCTCAACATTTACAATATCTGTAAATATATATGCCAGTTGCCAAACACCCAAATTTTGATCATATGATTGTGAGAAAGCTGCCGTGTTTGTAAGGGTGAGGATCTCTTGTAAGTCACGAATGGTTGTAAGTCAAGGACTACCTGCATTGTAAATGTAGGTCTCTCTCTCTTTTTTTAAAAAATATTTTTTATTCAACATTTACATCTTTAACATCCTTGTTACATTTTTACAGCTTTATGATACTGGCATCTTTAATAATGTCTATTTTATGTTTTAACCAACTATATACACATACATTTTATATATTTCTTACTAATTTCTATATTCACTACAATTTATATCTATCTATTACACAATAACTATTTTGCTCTTCTCTAATGTTTATACATTAATTTTGGATTCTTTCTCCAACCAATTATACCATCTATTCCATGTCTCGTAATAAATTGTTTCCTCTCGGTCTTTTAGTTCCATTGTTAATTTATCTGCTTCTGCACATTCTAGCACCTTTTTTTAGGTCTCTCTTTTTATGTTTCTTCCAGCTGCTGATCTCTTTAATGAATGGCTTGACAGCTTCATTTATTAATACTGATATGTTTTGGTTTTAGAAATTGCACACGGTTTGACAGACAACCTCCACTTCAACACATTTGGAGGCAATCCGGTGGCTTGTGCAGTTGGATCTGCAGTTCTGGATGTAAGAAAATGTTTGCATTGGTTTTTAGATATATTATTATTTATGAGCGTTGACAAAATTGCTTTCCACACCCCCCCTTAAATTAAAGGACTTTTGGTTCCCAAAAGGATGGCTTGCTGTGCCTTAATGCATGCACATTTAGTCACCTTGGCTAGAGAGTATTCATTTCTAGCAAAACGATTTATTTTCAAACATAACTTACCTCTCTGTTTAAATGCAGGGAAAGCAAAGGCAGACTGAAGGTTTCCATTCATCTTCTGCACCCCACTACATGTTAGTCTGTGTGTAGCTCAACATGCAGCTAAACCCATCTATCCTCCAATAAAACAGACCGTGTGCATAGATCTGAATGCTTTATTGAAAGAACAGGATATGGTGAAACTGGGAAAAATAGGGATACATACAATGAGAACCAAATACAAGATAGACAGTATTAAATTACTGCTGAACATAATAATGAATAAATGCAAGCAATTTAAATCTCACCAGAGATGCTGTGTGTGTGGGATGTGGGTTTGTCCTTGGATGACCATGTGCCACAGATGAAGATGGATTCTTCTTTGTGCTTCTGCCTTCTCCAAATGTTAAAGGAAATGGAGTCTGACTTCCCAGCATGCCCTTGGTTTGAGAGTGCTGGCTGATGGGTAAAATGGGTTGGGTCAGCTTCAAACAATATACTTGGTATTTGTCTCTCTGGCCACTAGATGGGGCTAGAGAGCAACAACAGTATATAAAGATCGTATGTTAGGGCATAGTTGTCCCTCTGGCCACTAGATGGGGCTAGAGAGCAACAACAGTATATAAAAGTTATATGCTGGCACATGACAATTCATGTAATAAGCACTAAAAATATGGATTCCATGTAGGTAGATTAATGCAGATTATTTATCTATTGCAAATTCCAGTGAAATTAATGGGATGTTACACATATGTAGAGAGCCAGCTTGATGTGATGATTAAGGCATCAGGCCAGAAACTGGGAGAGGGTGAGTTCTAGTACCACTTTGGGCGTGAAGCCAGCTGGGTGACCTTGGGCCAATCTCTTTCTCTCAGCCTGGGAAGGAGGCAAAGGTCAACCACTTTTGAAAAACCTTGCCAAGAAAACTGCAGGGATTTGTCCAGTTTCCAAGAATCGAACGCAGTGGAACAGGAGGAAAAAAAATATGCATGTATAATTTCCACTATACTCGACAGCAAGAAAGTTACATATTCTCCATATTGCCAGGGATATTTGCAAAATATTGAGACCAGTATTTTGGGTGGTTGAAGCTCTACACCCTTTTTAATGTGGGTCACAAGCATTTCATGCAAATATATTGAAAATATTTTAAGGGTAGATCCTCCCCCCCCCAAAGCCCCTCAATGCAGGTAATCCTCGACTTATAACAACAATTGACCCAAAAAATTATGTTGTTAAGTGAGAATTTGTTAAGTCAGTTTTGCCCCATTTTACAACATTTCTTGCCATCATTGTTAAGTGAATCACTGCAGTTGATAAGTTAGTAACCTGGTTGTTAAGTGAATCTGGCTTCCCCATTGACTTTGCTTGTCAGAAGGTTGCAAAAAGTGATCACATGACTTTGGGACACTGCAACGGTCATAAGTATGAACCCGTTGCACAAGAATCTGAGTTTGGATCACATGATCATGGGGACCCTGCAAAGGTTGTGACTGTAAAAAATGGTCATAAGTCACTTTTTTCAGTGCCGTTGTAACTTTGAACGGTCACTAAATGAACTGTTGAAAGTCAAGGACTACCTGTATTGTATTAGATCAAATGTACTCCAGAATTTCTCCATGTGTTGGCGCATAATGAAGTTGATTTGAGATTTTAATCTTTTTTGACTGGCTACGATCTGATCAAAGTTATTACCGTCTAGTTTTTAAGGCCCCTTGTAGAACTAAATGTGCCGGCAATGTTATTTCTGAATGCTTGATGGTTTCCTTCTATGGTTTTTGTGTGTCTAGGCAATAGCGGAAGATGGCTTGCAAAAAAATTGCCAAGAGATCGGAACTCACTTGCTTCTAGAGTTTGCAAAGCTGCGGGATAAGTTTGAAAGTGTTGGAGATGTTCGTGGCAAAGGACTTATGATTGGGATAGAGATGGTCCAGAATAAGGTATGGACTGCACTTGCGGGGAGGGCTATAGTGCCTGTGAGGTACTTGCATTGAACTGGAAAGGACAACAAAGGTCATTTAGTCCAACCCAGTGCAATGTGCAGGAAAACCAATTTGCCACTAATGAGAGATGGTTATTTTTAAAAAAAAATAACACAGAGAGGGAAAACGTATAACCTTTGGATTCTAATGGAACGTTCACTGTTGTTCACTATTCACTGTTGTATAAGTGCTATTGACCGGAAGATTTTCCTTTAAAATCTAATAATTTTTAAACACATGGTTGCTATTTCTACCCCTAATTTTTGGGGCCAGGTCAAATAATTTCTGACTATCTTCTCTGTAGTTTCCCTTTACGTACCTCACCATGATAGCTATCATATCATGTTTCCAGTGGTGGGTTCCTCCCAGTTCGGCCCGGTTCTCCTGAGCCGGTAGTGGTGACGATATGATGTCACTGAACCGGTTCTGCCCCCCCCCCCCGTGTTGTTCTTACCTTTTATTTGGCCCCACCCCCAATCTATTGCTGCCTCCTGAGTCCCAGCTGATGGCTAGAGGGAAAAAAACTGTTTAAACTCTTGCCGCGGGCTTCAAAGGGCCTCCCTACAGCTAATCAGCGTTAAAAGAAACAAATGAGTAGATCAGTGCCTGCAAAAATACATGAGTAGATCAGTGCCTGCAAAAATAAATGGGTAGATTGGTACAGCTCTGCAAGCAGTTAAAAGCCTGGTAGACCAGTACCTCTGCTAAATCCTAAATAATTGTCACATGACCATCAAGCCATGCCCACAAAATAAGCCACGCCCACAGAACTGGTAGTAAAAAAATTTTAGAACCCACCCCTGCATGTTTCCCTTCAGTTTCTTCACTCTAGACCAGTATTTCCAATCTTGACAACTTTAAGATGTGTGAACTTCAAATCCCAGAATTCCCCAAACATCATGACTGCCTGGGAATTAAAGGAGTTGACATCCACACATCTTAGAATTGCCAAGGTTAAGAAACACACCTTGAAACTGAAGAGTCCAACTACTTTCTCTCTATCCCCATAGGACATGCTCTGAAGGGCTTATATAATTTTTATTGGCCTCCTCTGAACTATCTGTAACAATTACGCCAACGCAATCCTAAATTGCATTAACAGAGTGATACAATCAAGATCAAGTGAGGTACTAATACCACTCTATAAAGCCTTAGTAAGACCACACCTAGAATACTGCATCCAGTTTTGGTCACCACACTATAAAAAATTTGCTGAGACTCTAGAAAAAGTGCAGAGAAGAGCAGCCAAGATAATTAGGGGACTGGAGGCTAAAACATACAATGAACAGTTGCAAGTACTCGGCATGGCTAGTCTAATGAAGAGAAGGACCAGGGGAGACATGATAGCAGTGTTCCAATATTTGAGGGGCTATCACAGAAGGGAGGAGGTCAAGCTATTTTCCAAAGCACCCGAAGGCCAGACAAGGAATGATGGATGGAAACTGAACAAGGAGAGATTCAACCTGGAAATGAGGAGGAACTTTCTGACAGTGAGAGCAATCAACCTATGGAACAGAAGTTGCCTTCGGAAGTTGTGGGAGCTTCATTACTGGAAGCTTTCAAGAAGAGACTGGACTGCCATCTGTCAGAAATGGTGTAGGATCTCCTCCTTGGGCAGGGGGTTGGACTAGAAGACCTACAAGATCCCTTCCAACTCTGTTAATCTGTTAAATCTGTTAATTAATAGACTTCTGGAACTCTAATCCTCAGAATGGTACACAGTACTCCAGGTGTGGTCTCACCAGGGCTGAATAGACAAGGATCATTTTCACCATTTATTTTGGTGAATCAACAAAATGATCAACAAAATTTAAATTCAACACTAACATTAAAACCATCCTGTTTTGCAAGTCTAATTTACATACTATAAAAATAACTCCATCGTAAGGTGCTAGCACAAAACATTAGCACCATTAAGATTATAAATATAATTAGGGTTATTAAATCCACGAGGAATGCAGTATACTATTATATAAAATTATATATAATGCTAAAGTGACTAAACAACCACGATACCAATGCCTACTGCAGAATATAGTTAGTAAAATCTATAGGTGTTTCAGAACTGAATATTAACAGTTGTTCTAAAATCACAGTGCAAAAAATAATAATAAGATGAGCAGAGAACTACACATTGAAGCTTGATTGTAGAGCTATCTTTGTTCTGGCATTATTGAAATTTCAGATATTCCTTGATTTATGACCGGTTGCTTAGCAACCATTCAAAGTTATGACTGACCTGCAAAAGGGACCTACAACCAGAGGTGTTATTCAGCTGGTTCTGACCAGTTCTGGAGAACCAGTAGCAGAAATTTTGAGTAGTTCGGAGAACCGGTAAATACCACCTCTGACTGGCCCCGCCCCCATCTATTCCCTGCCTCTCGAGTCCCAGCTGATCAGGAGGAAATGGGGATTTTGCAGTAACCTTCCCCTGGAGTGGGGAGGGAATGGAGATTTTACAGTATCCTTCCCCTGCCACACCCACCAAGCCATGCCCACCAAGCCATGCCCACAGAACCAGTAGTAAAAAAATTTGAATCCCACCACTGCCTACAACCCAGGTTCAAACTTCTGATAGTTGGAGTTACATGACCTAACTCTGCAGCTACATGAGCTAACTTTGGGTGCTCAGCAACATGGCTGAATTTATGGCCCTTTGCCATGTCCTGCAGTCACCTGACCATGTTTTACAATAGTTTTGCTGAAAACTGGCACTTACTTCCATTAGTTCACTTAATGACCACAGTGGCCATTTTACGACCACTACAAAAAAAGGTAGTAAAATCAACCAACCTATTTTACAACTATTATGACATATGATCATAACAGGCAACTTTGATTAGTCATGTGTCAAGGACTAACTGTAGAGTCTTCTTGCAAACACCAGTAACCCACAATGGCAATTACTGAAAAATTAATGCTGCACCTGCTGCATTTTTGTGAGCCTTTGTGCATGCGCAGACATTCAAAAGCTATTTTGAGTTCTTAATGGTAGAATATTAATTTAATCAATCAATAAAATAGAAGATGTACTGTGATGCTGGGTATGTCAATCTGGAATTCTGTAAAATTGCATGTTAAAATATCCAACTTTACATCTTTTATTTTATTTATTAATACTTTGCCATTAACAACTCAAAATACCTTTTGAATGTCTGTGCATGCACAGAGACTCATAACCAGTGGTAAAATCCTCCACGGGTTGCAACTGAAAGAGTTGTAACTAAAAAAAAAACCTAAAAGAGCCTTGGTGGCGCAGTGGACTAAGTGCTGTTAAAGTAGCACTTAGTTGCCAGCTGCCTGCAATTACTGCGAGTTCAAATCTCACCAGGCTCAAGGTTGACTCAGCCTTCCATCCTTTCGAGGTAGGTAAAATGAGGACCCGGATTGTGGGGGCAATAAGCTGACTTTGTATAAAAAAGACCACCACTTAGGGGGGGCCCGAAAGCCCTACTAAGCAGGTATATACAAAAGTATGAAGGCTATTGCTTAATGCATTGTAATAAATAAATAAATAAATAAATAAATAAATAAATAAATAAACAAACAAACAAACTGGCTTGCTGCTCGTACATGCACAGACACATGCGCAGTGCACACCAAACAGACGCTGCGCGCGCATGCACATTACACACCAAACGCACAGTGTGCGAATGCATGTTCAGTGCACACCAAGCATGGAAAAAGTAGCTGTTTGAAGGTAAGTAGAACAGCGAGGGGGGGGGGAACAGCTGTGCCGCACGATTTAGATTCGCTAGAAAGAAGGATTTCCTTTTTTTCTAGCAAATATAAATCACGTGGCACAGCTGATCGTCGGAAATACCAGTTCAGACCAACCGTAGCTTTTATTACTACCGGTTCACTCGAACCGGTGCGAACCGGTAGCATGTCACTCCTGCTCCTAACACAAAAATGCACTTTTCTGTGATTAATGGCTATGTATTGTTTGATTCTTTCATGCGTTCCTGTTTTTTCAAAAAATGAGAAAAAAAAAGGGGGTGGGAAACTGAAGTTTAAATTTTCTTCACAGGAAACTCGCCAGCCACTTCCAGCTGAAGAGATGGACCAGATTTGGGAAGACTGCAAGGACATGGGGTTGCTGATTGGCAAAGGAGGGATGCATTTACAGGTATTGTAAATGTTGAGAATCATATTAAGCTGTGACCATAGCCAGTTCTTTAGTAGATAGAAGGATGGCCCATGCTGAAGAAAAATTAATGATCTGCATAATTTAAAAAATAGTCCTCAAATTACAACCATTCATTTAGTAACCTTTCAAAGTTACAATGACACTGAAAAAAGTGACTTATGGCTCTTTTTCACACTCACGACCATTACAGCATCCCCATGATCATGGGATCAAAATTTGGACTCTTGACAACTGGCACGCATTTATGACGGTTGCAGTGTCCTGGGGTCATGCGATTATTTTTTGTGGCCTTCTGACAACAAAGTCAATGGGGAAGCCAGATTCACTGAATAATTAACAATTGCAGTGATTCACTTAACAACTGTGGCAAGAAAGTTCGTAAAATGGGGCACAATTCACTTAACAACTGTCTTGCTTAGCCGTGAAAATTTTGGGTCTCGATTGTGGTCATAAGTCAAGGACTACCTGTTAAGGCAGCAAGTATTCCTCTTTATTTATATTGTTTCCTGATTGCTTATTTGTAGCCTATGACTATCATTAAGTGTTGTACCTTATGATTCTTGATGAATGTATCTTTTCTTTTATGTACACTGAGAGTGTATACACCAAGACAAATTCCCTGTGTGTCCAATTACACTTGGCCAATAAAGAGTTCTGTTCTGTTCTGTTCTGTTCTGTTCTGTTCTGTTTTATTCTATTCTATTCTATTCTACTCTAGTCTACTCTACTCTATTCTACTCTACTCTACTCTATTTCAAAAGATTGAACTTTGCCAAGGTGACGGGTGACTCCAAGTAATTTAGGATGGTAAAAAACGATTTCAATCTCATCCCGGCTCCAGTGACATCACCCTGTCATTATCATGGTGATGTCACTGGAGCCGGGATGAAGTTGAAATTGCTTTATTTACTGAAATTTGCCTTAATTACTGATCCTTATCTCAAAATAATAAGAAAAGTTTGGCCCAGAGGGGAAAAAGATTAGCCATCCCTGATATAAATAATATCAATGCATAAATAATGCATTATTGTCAAAAGAAGGAACACATACTACTGTCTGGGCATGAAATTGCATCTGATGTTTGTTTCCAAACCTGCTTGTTTCAGGTATATTAGCCTGTGCATGAAAGCATGGGGAAGAGAAATACAGGCAGTTCTCAATTTATGATCATTAATTGAGCCCAGATTACTGTCGTAAATCATTAAGTGATCCTTTGTCACAATGGGCACTTTTTTTTGCCAATTTCTGGTAAACAATATTGTGACTCAGCCTTGTGACCACATGTCACTGTAAATGTGGGCTGGTTGCCCAGCACCATAAAATGATCTCATGAGAAGGGAAGAGGCTGGCTGTAGCTACCTGTTTTTTTTTTTAATGGCTTCCAAAATAAATTGTAGAGCAGGACCATACAGATGGGCCAATAAATTTAGCTTGTGGTAGGCTGGAATGGTTTTAGCTTGGTCCATCCCCATCGTCTGCCCCTTAACTGGTGACAGTATGTTGCTTTGTGATTATATCTACAGCCAAAACTTCTCTACTACTTAAATAAGTTTCTTCTCTGTATAATATTTTCCCTCTTTTTTTTTTCTTTCTTTCCCAAGACATTTAGAATTAAACCTCCGATGTGCATTACGAAGGAAGATGCAGATTTTGCAGTGGCCGTCTTCCAGGAAGCCTTAATAAGACATATGGAAAGAACAGCTGAAAAATAAGAGAACTTACACACACACACACACACACACACACACACACACACACACGAGATGAATTGGACTCACTGTGAATAAATCCATGAACCAGAACTCATTGCCTGAAGCATTGATTCATAATTTGTCATTTTTTTAAGATTAATTTGGATAAAATTACATGCAGAAAGCAGGTGGCTTCTCAGCCCGCAACTCCATTTGGCTGTTTTATAACTTGTGCAGCAGCTGGACATGATGTCCATAAGTGATTTACAAAAGCCCAGCTGATGTTTTGGCTGAGCACACGGGAGCCATCTTTTCTTCCTCTTTGCACAAAGGGATTTTAAGATTGAGTGCTGGGGATACGCTTCTGAGGGGAAAACTGATGGAAACAGCTGAGCAGCAGAATATAAATTCTTTCCAATCCTCTGCTGTAAAGACAAGCTTAATTCTGTTGCCGTTTCGCTTTGAATTACAGGTGGCAAAGCACATACCCAAATCCTTTCATGTTTTGACAAAATGCAATTTCATAAAGCAAAAAGTGGAACCTGAAACACTGTGATAATGTTGAGCAAACATTCAGAAATCCTACCACGAATTTCTGAGGGGCAAGAGACACTTCCCCACCAGCTACAAGAGAGTGAAGGTTTCATGCTGATTTGTGCTTTAATAAATAGACTTAGCATATATTAAGATAAAGGAATATTAATCCAATTCTTAGTTCTTGGATCAGGGATGAGGAAACTAAAGCCGAATTGACACTTGCAAATCTTGCTGTCCGGGGCTGAGTTGGCTCTGAACATGAAAATCATATGAAGTTCCTGACTTTCCCCAAGTAGATAATTTATTCAAGTTTCTTTTGCTGAAGAACGGAATACAGCAAGAACAAGAGAGCTACAGTTCCCCAAATATATTTTACAGCAGTGGTTTTCAATTAGTCGAATGTCTGTGGAGATTCTCAAGTCATCCAGGTCATGGTTGTCACCAAAGGTGCTTTTTTCAAGAGACAGCTGGACTTTCTGGTTTTTCTTTGAAGATGTTTCGCTTCTCATCCAAGAAGCTGCTTCAGTTCTGACTGGATGGTGGGGAATTTGCACTAAGGTGACCCTGAGGACACAGATAAACCTCAAAGTGCTTTAATGACCCTCAAAAAGAATGCAAATGACCAGCTGTCTGCAAGGAGGATAAATCCTTCCATTCCCCACCATCCAGTCACAGCTGAAGAAGCTTCTTGGATGAGAAGCAAAACATCTTCAAAGAAAGTCCAGTTGCCTCTTGAAACAGCACTTTTGGGTCAGTGCAGTGGTGGGTTTCAAAAATTTTTACGGTTCTGTGGGTGTGGCTTGGTGGTAGTCGTGAAATCCAATTTTTTTTACTACCTGTTTTGTGGGCGTGGCGTGACAGGCGTGGTGTGGCTTGGTGGGTGTGGCAGGGGATACTGCAAAATCTCCAATCCCACCCCACTCAGGGGCCAGCCAGAAGTGGTATTTGCCAGTTCTCCGAACTGCTCAAAATTTCTGCTACCGGTTCTCCAGAACCTGTCAGAACCTGCTGGATTTCACCCTTGCTTGGTAGGCGTGGCATGTCTTAGTGGGCATGGCAGGGGAAGGTTACTGCAAAATCCCCATTTCCTCCCGATCAGCTGGGACTTGGGAGGCAGAGAATAGATGGGGGCGGGCCAGTCAGAATTTTTATTACCTGTTCTCCGAACTACTCAAAATTTCCAGTACTGGTTCTCCAGAATTGGTCAGAACCTGCTGAAACCCACCTCTGGGTCAGTGGTTGAATGTATACCACAGGTGGGACGTACAAATTTCATATACAGGATGGGGAAGAAGATATTGGAACATAAAACGTAACAATAACAGAATATCTTTAAAGTTACGCTTTTGTCTAGAAAATGTTTGTTCCTATCATGGTTATAGCAAGCCCTCTTTCATGGATTGAGGGACAGCACTTGTGATTTTATGGCTGACAGCCACTGTCTTGTGACAGTCAATCCAGGTTTGGGCTAAATGAATATAGCTGGGTTGGCAGCAAAAAAAGGTGCATTTAATGTAAAGAGGACATCACAACTTGGGCGTCCTCCTGGACACACGGCTGTCTTTAGAAGAGCATATGACGGCCGGGGCCAGAGGGGCTTTTTATCAGGTTCGCCTGATACGCCAGTTGCGCCCCTTTCTGAGTCGGGATTCCTTATGCACAGTCACTCATGCTCTCGTCACTTCTCGCCTGGACTACGCTAACGCTCTCTACATGGGGCTCCCCTTGAGGAGCACCCGGAGGCTCCAACTGGTCCAGAATGCGGTCGCGCGGGTGATCACGGGAGCGACATGGCGCTCCCATATAACACCTCTCCTGCGCGAGCTGCACTGGCTCCCGGTGGTCTTCCGGGTGCGCTTCAAGGTGTTGGTTCTCACCTTTAAAGCGCTCCATGGCTTAGGGCCAGGGTATTTACGAGACCGCCTGCTGCTACCGATAACCTCCCACCGGCCAATACGCTCTCACAGAGGGCCTCCTCAGGGTGCCGTCTGTCAAGCAATGTCAGCTGGCGGCCCCCAGGGGGAGAGCCTTCTCTGTGGGAGCACCCGCCCTCTGGAACGAGATACCTCCCGGAATACGGCTGATTCCGGATCTCCGCACTTTCCGTAAGGCCCTGAAGACGTTTTTATTTCAGCAAGCCGGCCTGGCCTGAATAGGTTTTATGGGTTAGTTTTTTAATTGTATTGCTAGGGTTTTTAAATTGGGGTGGCCGTTTAATTTAATTTATTTTTAATTATTTTAACTTTTATATTGTATGTTATTTTAATTCCCGGCTGTTCACCGCCCTGAGTCCCTTCGGGGAGAAGGGCGGGATATAAATTTAATAAATAAATAAATAAATCGCTGGATGAAATGAATAGTGAATTTTCGAAAGTAAACAGAAATGTACAGTAAAATAATTTATTCCCTTTGCCTGTACATGTAGGTTTTTACAAATCTTAAGGAGCAGGAAAACTCTCTTTATGAACAATCTGGAGGCTTTAGCCCAATTTATGAAACAAAATACAGACACAAACAGATACTGTATCAAGTGCTGCACAGGTTCAAATGTGTTTCTGCTCTGTTTATGGCTGGGCCCAGCAGTCTTCATCCCGGTTAAGTCACACGGGAAAAGCCTGGGCCTCTTTGGGCTAACAAGGTGCCTTTGGATGGGACAATAACCCCACAGTTCTCGAGGCTTTCCAGAAACCCTATCTGTTCCTCCGCTTTTCTTTCTTGCTTCTGCTGCTGATGGCTGTGTTGGCAGTGGAAGTGGCAAACGCTTTGGCGTGCCCCGTGGTTTTCAGATGTTCAAACAATTTGTTCCGCGACTGAAATTCACAGCTGCAGGTAACACACTGCAGGGGGGCCTCAAGCTGTAAATGGAAAATCAGAAGAAACAAAAAACGGGAAGAACCTTATTACCATTAATGTATAATATATGAGAATCTCCATAGAGATTTACCATTAATATAGTTTCTTTGATGACGGCAAAAATGTAATAAAAGAATTACTTGATTGACGTAGACGAAGGCTTGTTTAGACCAACTGTTGAGGAATTCGCAGAGCAACCCTTGAGTAGCAAGGGTGTGCACATGAATGCGATTGAGAGTAGTTACGAATAAAACCCAGCCAACACACAGATACACTGAGTTGTGTTTACTTTTAGGAAATAGTAAGGCACAGTCCAATAAACAGTCCAGGTCATACACAGATAAAGCAGTAGATAGTTAAACAATAGTCCAGAGATAATCCAATAACAAAGTCTTCTTACCAGTCGTTGTAGTCATACACATTAACAGTTGCAAACAGTAGCAAACACAGCAAAAAGCAAAGAGCATCAAAGAGAATCGAAGAGAAACAAACCATGTTTCTAGCTCCCTCTTAAGGACATTGGCTACAGAGCTAACTAATCAGGACACAGTATGATGCAATACAGCAATACAGCAGTCTTAAAGCAATATTGATGGTTTATATATTGCCAACCCAACAAGTTAGATAATAATCATTTCCTAACACCAACATTAGCTTCAAAACATTATTTCTACAAGCTTGCAAGCAGGCAGAAAAAGGAACCAGCCACCCCACTGAATATCACTGTCCGGTTCTCAACTATATAATGATAATGATCTATCATTATTGTTGTATGTACACGGTGGCGCGGTGGTTAAAGTGCGGTACTGCAGGCTACTTCTGCTGACTGCCGGCTGCCTGCAATTTGGCAGTTCAAATCCCACCAGGCTCAAGGTTGACTCAGTCTTCCATCCTTCCGATGTGAGTAAAATGAGGACCCAGATTGTTGGGGGCAATAGGCTGACTATGAAAACTGCTTAGAGAGGGCTAGAAAGCATTGTGAAGCGGTATGTAAGTAAGTACTATTGCTATTGCTACAGTGAGAGCTTATGCACCAAGAGACAAATTCCTTGTGTGTCTAATCACACTTGGCCAATAAAGAATTCTAATTCTAATACTGTCTCTAAACCTAGAGGGTCAATGCTCTACCGGCTAACAGTTGTTGCTAAATTTAAGATTTAAAGGTGGCCATCCTTTCTAGAAAGCTACAGACCTTAAATGAATGATCAACAATTTCGTTCCCAGGCTGAAAGTTGGCTAAGCAGCCCTGCAGAACAATGGGACATATAGCAATAGCAATAGCACTTATATATTGCTTCATAGTGCTTTTACAGCCCTCTCTGAGCGGTTTACAGAGTCAGCCTATTGCCCCCCAACAATCTAGGTCCTCATTTTACCCACCGCGGAAGGATGGAAGGCTGAGTCAACCTTGAGCCGGTGAGATTTGAACTGCCGAACTGCAGCTAGCAGTCAGCTGAAGTAGCCTGCAGTGCTGCATTCTAACCACTGCACCAACTCAGCTCTCTATATAAAAGGAGCTGAAGTCTTGGTGATTTAGACATGTCCGTGTAATTTTCTGGATATACAAGTGGTTTGCTCTTGTCTTTTTCCAAGATCCTTCTGGACTTCCCTCTTCCACAGTCCACAGCTGTGGAATTTTTGGCTGTCTTTCATCCAAGTTATAAGCATATCTGACATTGCTTAGTTTTTCTTTTTTTAAAGAACACAACTAGACAGAGCTACAAGTCAGGCAATCTTTTGAAGCGGTCACATTTAGAGTTTGGGGAACATGTTAAGAAAAAAAGAAAAAAAGCCTCAGAAAACGGCAGAACTTGGCCAAGCTTGGTTGTCTTCAGAAGCTACTTACGGAGAGTTCTGGATGGTATCTGACTAGAGCAGGGGTGTCAAACTCAATTTCATTGAGGGCCGCATCAGGGTTGTGTTTGACCTCCGGGAGGCCAGGTGGGTGTGGCCAGGGTGGGTGTGGCCAGTTTGACATCACTTGTGTTGGGGGCGCCTGTGGTGGCCTGAGCGCTTTTTCAGCGAAAACAGGCTTCCTAGCTCTGTTTTCAGCTGCGACGGTCTCCTGCCTGTCAGCAAAAATGGCTGCACATGGCCCTCCCGAGCTCCATCTTTGTGGCAGAGGCACCGCGGGCCAGTCCTTCGCTGCTTCCAGGGCGGTCCCACAGGCCAGATCTAAGCACCCCATGGGCCAGATCCGGCCTGCAGGCTTTGAGTTTGACACTCCTGAACTAGAGGAATACAGGTAGTTCTCAACATATGACCACAATTGAGCCTAACATTTCTGTTATTAAGGGAGACATTTGTTAAGTGAATTTTGCCCCATTTTATGACCTCCCTTGACAAGGTTGTTACATGAATCACTGCCGTTGTTAAGTTAGTAACACGGTTATTAAGTGAACCTGCCCCCATTGACTTTGCTTGTCAGATGGTCCCAAAAGATAATCACATGACCCCAGGACACGGCAATGGCCATACGAGTCAGTTGACTAGTGTCTGCATTTCGATTTTGTAACCATGGGAATGCACCAATGGTTGTAAGTGTGAAAAACACTCATGTCACTTTTTTTCAATGCCATTGTAGCTTCGAATGGTCACTAAACAGACTGTTGTAAGTCGAGGACTACCTGTACTGGAAAAATCCAGGGCTGTAAACCAGATGGGAAATTAAAACAGGTTTCAATAGAAGAATAGAATAGAATAGAATAGAATAGAATAGAATAGAATAGAATAGAATAGAATAGAATAGAATAGAATAGAATAGGAGTAGAGTAGAGTAGAGTAGAGTAGAGTAGAGTAGAATAGAATAGAATAGAATAGAATAGAATAGAATAGAATAGAATAGAATAACAGAGTTGGAAGGGACCTTGGAGGTCTTCTAGTCCAACCCCCTGCTTAGACAGGAAACCCTACACCACTTCAGACATAGGGTTATCCAATCTCTTCTTAAAAACTTCCAATGTTGGAGCATTTACAACTTCTGGTGGCAAATTGTTCCACTGATTAATTGTCCTAACTGTCTAAATCAGGGCTGGCTGTCAAACTCCCGACCTGCAGGTCAGATGCGTCACACACTGACCACGCCCAGTTTAGCGAAGGGGTAAAAAATCCCAATATGTCACGCTGCCGTGACGACGTGAATTTGACACCTAGGTGTCTTGCTAGGTGACGCCCATGTTAATAGTCCAAAGAACGGCATGGCCAGATCTAGGAAATCACGGGGTGGGGTGGAAGTGACGAAGTCAACCTGAAGGACATTTTCATTAACCACATACACAAAAGAAGGGAAAGATTTTTGCCTTTAGATCCAGTTAGTACTTGATGCCAAAAAGAGTACCCTCTTTTGTCACAGTTTATCTCTTGTACATACCTTTACCTGGTCCTCTGAAGAAACTTTTGCAGATGTTTTCTTGGCTTCTTTTGCTTTCTTTCCTTTACCTTTAGGATTGCTAAAATAATAAAGACATTCTCAGTCTCCGAGCAGATGCTTCAGACTGTATAAAACATTTTCACAAGTCAAAACCTTTTACATTTCGTTAACAACAGCTCCCTTCGGTATCTTGTTTACCTTTTCACCTCAGTTTTGGATTCTACTGTAGGCGCTGAAATTTCTCCAGCATCGTCTGAATTGTAGCTTTTACTGGCATTTTCTGATTCTGGAGATATCCTCTCTGGGTCATTGCAGCTCACCGGCCTTGGCTCTTCGACTTGCTGCTCAGGACTGCTGTCCTTGGAAGGATCCTCCTGGGTCTGTGGGAAGAATAAGAGAGCCTTCAGAGGAACAATGGGAGATAATGGCCAAGATACAGGGAGTCATCAACTTAAGACTACAGTTGAGCCCAACACTTCTGTCGTTAAGCGAGACATTTTTGTTTGGTGAGTTTTGCCCCGTTTTTTTCGATTTTTTCTTTCCGCAGATGTTAAGTGAATCACTGCAGTGGATAAGTTAGTAACCCCGTTGTTAAGTGAATCTGGCTTCCCCCATTGACTTTGCTTGTCGGAAGGTCCCAAAAGGCAACCGCATGATCACAGGACACAACAGTCATAAATATAAACCCATTGCCAAGCATCTGAATTTTGATCACGTGATTATGGGGATGCTGCAAAGGTTGTAACTGTGAAAACCGGTCGTAAGTCACATTTTTCAATGGCGTGGTAACTTTGAATGGTCACTAAATGACATGTTGTAAGCCAAGGACTATTCCTGTACATTCATCATGATCACAACGAGATCTGCAAAGTCTGTTTGCAAGATGAGGACAATCCAGGGGTGAAATTCAGAAGGTTCTGGAGAACCGGTAGTGGAAATTTTGAGTAGTTTCGGAGAACCGGCAAATAACACCTCTAGCTGGCCCCAGAATGGGGTGGGAATGGAGATTTTGCAATATCCTTCCCCCTGGAGGGGGGTGGGAATGGAGATTTTGTAGTATCCTTCCCCTGCCACGCCCACCAAGCCACACCCACCAAGCGACACAACTCCCACCAAGCCACGCCCACAGAACCGGTAGTAAAAAATTTGAATTCCACCACTGGAAATCATGCTAGAACATCACATCTGAACGCCGACATGCAAACCAATTTTCCCCAACCTGGTGCCCTCCAAGTGCTACAAAATAGCCATCAAGTGGAAAAAACACCCCAACCACTTGGGGAATACCTTTATGTATTTTCAACGTGGGCACCGTTAAATCTGTTCCCATTCAAGGAAGCCTTCAACTCCAGCACAGAAATCATGAAGAGGCTACGTCAGTGGTGAGCTGCTGCCGGTTCAGGCGAACCGGTAGTTCCGACCACCAGCTGGGCCTGCCCACCCTCCCTAGCGCTATCACGTCCTATATCAGGGGTCCTCAAACTTTTTAAACAGGGGGCCAATTCACGGTCCCTCAGATTGTTCGGGGGCCAGACCAGTTGGGTGGGTGTGGCTTGGTGCTCATGTGACTGGGCATGGCCAATTTAGCAGTCCAAACAATACACATAAATTAAACTTTAATTTGTTATGCTCCTGAGGGTGGAAAGCAGGATAGTGAAGAGACGTGACTGCCTTGGGGTGTGTATGAGGGACTTGTGTGTGCGTGTATCTCCCTCTCTCTCTCTCTCTAGAGGCTGGGGAGGCCAAAAACAGGCTCGTTTTTGGCCTCCCCGACCTCCAGTACCTCTCTGCCGCCCCAAAACGGGCCCATTTCTGGCCTCCAGAGCCTCTGCACATCCTGGTTTTGGCCTCCCCGGCCTCCAGAAGGCAGGTGGGGGCCAGTGGGCAGGCAGGATGATGTGAGCGGGGCAACTTCATGGCCCTGTGTGGGCCAGATTAATGGCTTCGGTGGGCCGTATCTGGCCCCCGGGCCGTAGTTTGAGGACCCATGTCCTATATAATCGCTGGTGTTTGATTCCGGGCAAACCGGTTGTTACAGTCTGTGATGCCCATCTCTGGGCTACGTGGTAGGCTGGGGACAAAAGTTTTACGTGCTCAGACTTTCTGAGGAAGCACCTGCCCCACCTGAAAACATTTTCAGCTTCTGAAGTTGTGGATCTAGCAACCTCCTCCTGTAAGCCATATTACACTTCACAGACATTGGTCTAGTTGTGGGGTCCTTGATGCTGAGCTTGGCTGTTTTCTTGCAAACATTTATTACCAAACTACCTAATATTGGAGTACTGATGATGTTACCTGGTTTGGTAATGAAATGTCTGTACAAACAAACAAACAAATAAACAAACAAAAAAACACCAAGCTCAGAGAGCACCAAGAACTCCATAATTCAACCCTGAGCTACAAATATTCAAATCTTCTGCCTTTTGAAAACATGTGAACCAGAGTTAAGATGCTCTTACAAAAGAGAAGGCTGCCATCTCCATTTCCCCCCCCCCAAAATAAAATAAATCAGGCTATGTGGGAGGAGGCAAAGCTGCAACTTAGCCTTGAAAAATTAGCTAGTTCTCATCATAAAATGCCACAATATTTCAGCAAATTTATTCAGGGACAGGGCATCGCCAGCAATCAACGCCACATTCAAACGGAGGCAGAAATAATTCCAAAATAGCGCCACCATTGATTTTGCAGATCAGGACATGAAAACATGCAAAGGGAAATCAGCTTTCAAAAGAACAAAAACTTACGCCTGCTGTTCTTTGCTTCCTTCGCTGTTTCTTTGACAGCCTGTTAAGGATAGAAACAAAACTGCAGTGTCAAAACAACTTAGTTCAACTTCCTTTGTTTGTTGAATCCCTTCTGAAGCCCTGAAGCAGTGGTTCCTAACCTTGGCAGCTTTAAGATGGGTGGGCTTCCCACTCCCAGAATTCCACAGCCAGCAAAGCAAAGCTGGCTAGGGAATTCTGGAAGTGGAAGTCCACTCAACGTAAAGCTGCCAAGGTTCAGAAATACGGTCCTAGAGAAATCTTGGCTGCAATTTGAAACCCCTTCTATATATATACCTAGGGAAAATACGGAGTTTCTCCTGACCAACTGGTTGCTTTAGCCATGCCCATCAAGTAGCAGTTAAACAGATTATTTCTAAGCATTCCTGCTGTAGGTAGCCCGATTCTCTCGTGATGGATTATTATAGAGCAGTGATGGCGAACCACCGAGTGCTGAAAAGGGAGCACTTCACGCTCGTCAAGGCCGCAACAAGGAAGAGGAGCTGCCCAGGGGGCATGCGTGCACCAGATAAGGTACTTCCGGATAAGGTATTCCCAGCAAGCAAGTCTTCCAGTTACTGCCTTGATGCGCACGTACCAATCAGCTGGCCGGCACGCATGCTCATGCCGGAAAACGGAAGACCAGCTCTTCCGGTTTCCGGCACTGCTGCACACACAAAGGCCAGCTGATTGTCACATGTCCATGCGCGCCAGAAACCCGGAACAGGAACGGGCAATGTCCTGCATGCCAGGCGACATGGCTCCGTGTGCCACTTCGGGCATGTGTGCCATAAGTTCGCCATCACGGTTATAGAGGAAGGGGAAACCATGTACCCGGGCAGAGAAAGGAAAGATCAACGAACTCAGAGAAAAACCATGAAGATTAAAGAAAAGAAGCTGAGAGAGGAATAAATCAGGGGTGAAACGCTCCCGGTTCGGACCGGATCGCTTGATCCGGTAGCGATGGCAGCAGGTGGTTCGGAGAACCGGTAGCAAAAATCCCTGCGCCTCCTCCCCACCATGCCCATCTGAGCCGCACGATCATCAGAGGCTTTTTTTTTTTTTTTACTTTTAAAAGCATTTTTTCTACAACCTCTTCCGACTAAAAAATGCTTTTAAAAGTAAAAAAAAAAAAAGCCTCTGATGATCGTGCGGCTCAGCTGGGAACGTCAGAGGCTTTTCAAAGCATTTTTTTTTTGCAATCTCTTGGCCGAAGACGTGGTAAAAAAATACTTTGAAAAGTCTCTGACAATCCCAGCTGAGTTGCCTGATCGTCGGAGAGGCTTTTCAAAGCATTAGAAAAAATGCTTTTAAAAGTTTTTTTTTAAAAAAAAGTTGGCCACGCCCACCCAGTCACATTATCCCCCCACCAAGCCACGCCCACAGAACCGGTAGTAACAAATTTCACATTTCACCCCTGGAATAAATACAAAACAGCTCAATTGAAATAGATTGTTAGTTGTCTCTCAAGGGCTGGGGAAAAGGAGCATGGAATGGCACATCCTGAAATTGGGCACCTGGCCAGCTCCCTCATGAAGCTTTGGAGACCAGAAATAATGTATGCCTTTTGGCAGCCTGAACTTCTACATATTTTCCATAAGTACTTTTGTTTGGGGATTGGTTCTTCTGCCTCCTCTTCGCTGTTCCACCCGTTCTCATCAACCGTGGAGACAGAAAATGCTTCTTCCTCTTCTTCTAATTGCTGCCGGAGCAAAGCCACGATCTCCCGGTGCTTCTTGGACTTCTCATGGTTCTTCATCCTGAAGAGAGAGATTGGAGGGATGTTATTGTGAAGAACAAGATTTGAGTCCAGAAAGAATGGTTGCCTTTTATTAAAGGAAAACTGAGCAGAGGTTTGCTTGAGAAGGGAAGCCTGATGGGAACCAAGGAGGCGTTTGAATAAATCAGGGGAAGATGTTAAGGGAAGTGTGTGCTGATCCCTTTTAGTTTGCATATTATTTATTTGTTTGTTTGTTTGTTTGTTTTAATTTGTATACCGCCCTTCTCCAGCAGGACTCAGGGCAGTGAACAGCCAGAATAAAAACAGAACATACAAAATTTAAAAACAGTTTAAAATAATTAAATATTTTTGGCCTCAATTTAAAACAAACCCAGTTAAAATCAATTAAATTTAACCAAAACTGTGGGATCAAGCCAGCCCGGCTAGGTGAAATAAATAAGTTTTCAGGGCCCGACGAAAAGTCCGGAGGTCTGGTATTGTACGTATCTCTGGGGGGAGGTTGTTCCAGAGGGCGGGCACCGCCACAGAGAAGGCTCTCCCCTGGGGGTCGCCAGCCGACACTGTCTGGCGGATGGCACACTGAGGAGGCCCTCTCTGTGCGAGCGCACTGGCCGGTGGGAGGCTATTGGTGGCAGAAGGCGGTCTCGTAAATACCCCGGCCCTAAGCCATGGAGCGCTTTAAAGGTGGTCACCAACAATATTAAAGAAACAATATTAAAGAAAAACTTACGCTTTCTCTGTCTTAAAGGATTTATCACAAGCGGGACAGTAGAGCTCATCAAAAAGGTTGGCAGCATCGTGTTCTTCACTTAATTTGTCTGAAAATACATACATATATTTCTGTGTGAGATGCTTGATGATCTAACCATCTTTTCTCCTATTGCAGGAGTGTCAAACTCAAGGATCCAGCCCATGGGTTGCTTAAATCTGGCCCATGGGGCTGGCCTGGAAATATCAAAGGACCGGTCTGTGGTGCCTCTGCTGGCCAAAATGGGCTACAGGAGGGCTGTGTGCGCCCTCCCCCTGTGGTCTGTTTTCGGCCTCCTGCAGCACCCTGCCAGCCAAAAATGGGCCACATGGAGGCCCCGCAAGACCCCCACACAGCCCATTTTTGGCCTGTAGAGTGCTGCAGGAGACCAAAACTGGGTCATGCGGGGCTTCCGTGTGCCGCATTTTGGCTGGCAGGGTGCTGCAGGAGGCGTCCATCCCACCCACCCCAGTCCGTGGAGAACTACAATGCTGATTCGGCCCTCAAAGAAATCCAGTTTGACACCCTTATTCTATTGTCAATATCCAGCTATGAATTTAAGTGCTTAAATAACCAAAATAGTACATCTATGTAGGAGAGGAAGGAATCAGCAAAGTTGAAGGGACTCTCAACTGCAACAGGAGGAATCACATGGAAAGAACTCAGTACCACTCAGGACTGATCGGGTCCAGGGATCACAGAATACGGATTGGGAAAATCAAACCCTTGGTAAAAGGGAGGAATAGCTACCGAATTGCAACAGTGAGAATTAACACTCCGCAAGTTGTGTTAATGTTTACTTAATAGATATTAAGTCCTTATTCTGGAAATCAATAGAGGAGATTAGGCGACCTAGCAAGCTATTCCCAGAAAAACAATTCGCACTTGCTCTTAAGGAGCAACTAACTGCCAGTTGATCCTCACCCTCTTCTTGGTTCTCTTTCCTCTCTTCTTTTTCTTCCTCTTCTTCCTCGCCAGACCCATCTCCAAACTCCTTTTCATACTGAGCTTCCATCTGCTGCAGTTCTCGCTCTAGGTCAGACATGGTAATCCAGCTCTGCTCCTTGTACTGCTCCGCCAGCCTTTGAAAGGAAGAGGGAGGCAAAAGGTGAGGCTTCTCATAGTTCTCATAGAAAATAGATCTCTGTTTTCTCTGGTAGAAGGTTGCAGGAGGCAGTCCCAGCCGAAAATGGAGATTGGGAGCCCGTTTTTGCTGGCAGAGCCCTCGGGCCACCACAGGCGCCCTCGACACGAGTGACATCAAGCTGGCCACGTCCCCACCCCTCAAGGTCAAACACAATCCTGATGCGGCCCTCAATGAAATCGAGTTTGACACCCCTGCCCTAAACAATAAACATGGTTAATGAAAGAGAAGAAGTTGGTCCATGGGCTAAAGACGAGATCAAGTTCAACTATTGGTGACCTAGTGGCAATGGACATCTAATTTCCTCACCCACAAAAACCAAAGTAGTATCTTGCAACTCTTTTTCAAGCTTTTTGGCTAATCTACAGCCCTGATCTTTTCAAATGTCTCCTTTTCTACCTGGTGTCCAGACAAGGTTGGCCAGATGCTGCCACCTGGTGAAGCTTACAACATTGATTCCAGACAAATAGAGAACTTCATGATTTAATGTCTATGCAGGCTAGAAATCATAGGATTTTCAAAAGCATTGGCAACCACCAGACTGAAGAAGATTGAGCTTACACTGTGGACATATTTATTGTCCTATGCAAGTTAAGCAAGAAAGCTTCTTTTGTGCAGACAACTTCATGCTGACCAGGTGTTATGAAACAGAGACCCCGTTCTGTTCTGCAAACTGTGGATGCTACCAACCAAAGCTAGATAGGCCTTCTGTCAGCACATAACTTTTATCATCGATATTTCACTCTTCATTCTTGACTATTGCAAGGTTCTGTCTAAATAAACAGAACTTAGTCTACACATTTATAAGCTTAACTTGTTATTATGAGTTTTAGAGGCTGTACTGCAACAACCCTGAAGGCAGGCGGAAATTTAGAACATCAACTTCTCCTTCTACACCAATGCAGGAAGAACATTTATGAACCTTCATGCATGTGATGTAATGTGCATTTGGAGAAGGAGTAGGGGGTAATCCTAGGTTTCCTTAAGGGAGGGGGAAGCACATTCCAGAGAAACGCAAAACTGAAGATTGTGCCTTCAGAAGATGGGGGAGGGAAGAAGAGCTTCAGGGTAGCCACACCCTAGAACAGCGATGTCTAACCTTTTTGCCATCGCGTGCCAAAAGTGGGGGGGGAGCACGGGGGGTCGTGCGCGTGCGTGCCCATACCCATTATTCTATGTACCCCACCCCCCACGCAGGCCTGCACGACCCCTCCCGCATTCCCCCAGCTTTTGGCACGGTGGGCACAGTAGGCCCGTTTTCCACCCTCCCCAGGTTCCAGAGCCTCTCTAGGAGCCTGGGGAGGACAAAAACGGCCTTCCCCACCTCTACCCCCACCCCGGAAGCTCTCCGGAGGCCGAAAACAGCCTGTTTCCCTGCTTCTGGTGGGCCCAGAAGGCCCGAAAATCAGCTGGCCTGTGCATGCATGCGTGTCAGAACTGAGGTCACGTGCCCACCAATATGGCTCCATGTGCCACCTGTGGCACACGTGCCATAGGTTCGCCATCACAGCCCTAGAATCTCTCAGGATATATCTATTAGGTTAGAAGGTTGTAGCTTTAATCTGCAAGATTCTGTCTATTAGGTGTAAGCAATATGGAATTGGACTACATTGGATTTCACCACATGGTCTTTGAGCTTAAGCCAGATAGAAGCATGAGTTAGACAACAATTCCCAAGCTAGCATAGTCACTAGCTACAAATTCTGGAAAGCGTCCTGCTTGGAATAAGATTATGTTAGTTCCTGTTTTTAATGACTGTGTTGCTTTTTGGGGTTACACCATTTAAAGACGGTGTCCATGAAGCAAGCATGCTGCCTGGAGAATTTTGGAAATTCTGGAAAACCACCAAGGCTAAGAATCACTGGTCTAGATCATCATACTTGGCCTGTTTCAGTTTCTGCTGCCTCCGGAGCGCTTCTGACTTCTTAGCTTTCTCTGCATTCTGCTCTTCCAAGAGCTTCCGGTGGGCCTGAACTCGCTTGTCTCTTTTCCGCACAAAGGCCACCAGTTCACGGACCAGTTCGTTCCTCTCCTTCCTTGCTTTGTCTCGGGTTTTCTTGTTCTCCTTTTCCATGGCTCGCTTTTCCCAGCGGTTGGACGCCTGCCGAGTGTCATATTCTTCCTTCCATGCAAAATTCTTCTGTGTACAGAAACTCTGCCAGTACGCATAAAAACAATGGACCACCTAATTTGGAAGACAGGGAGAAAACAGAAACATTTACATTGGCAAACAATTAAAGGTAAAGGTTCCCCTCGCACATATGTGCTAGTCGTTCCTGACTCTAGGGGGCGGTGCTCATCTCCGTTTCAAAGCCGAAGAGCCAGCGCTGTCTGAAGATGTCTCCATGGTCATGTGGCTGGTATGACTAAATGCCAAAAGGCACATGGAACGCTGTTACCTTCCCACCAAAGGTGGTCCCTATTTTTTCTACTTGCATTTTTGACGTGCTTTCAAACTGCTAGGTTGGCAGAAGCTGGGACAAGTAACGGGAGCTCACCCCATTACGCGGCACTAGGGATTCGAACCGCTGAACTGCCGACCTTTCGATTGACAAGCTCAGTGTCTTAGCCACTGAGCCACCGTGTCCCTGGCAAACAATTACAGGAGGCCAATCACGAGGCAGTGATTTTGTTAAGGTCATTTATTAAAACTGAGTCTACACATTTAACTTACAGCTCATGGTAGCAGATAAACTATTTATGGGGAGTGGCTAACATTATGGATATTGTTTTTTCCTGTATTAACTTACATTTTTGAAAAGTAGACGCAAACTGGAGTGCCATGTTGCATAAGAAGGATGAAAGGATGATGGTTTATTTTTTTTCCATTTTCACTAAGGATGCCTGCACTTTGAAAAGGATTCAGAAAAATGGTTCTGGGTGTCACACAAATGCAGCATTTTTCTGCTCTTTAATTAGATAATTAGAACTGCAGAAAAAACAATTGCTACCAACTTGTCTTCCATTGAGGACCTGTATACTGCACGAGTCAAAAAGAGGGCTATTTAAAATAACCCTCTTTACAGAGGGCTAAAATAGCCCTCTGAAAATATTTACAGACCCCTCACATCCTGGACATAAACTGTTTCAACTTCTACCCTCAAAACGACACTATAGAGCACTGCACACCAGAACAACTAGACACAAGAACACTTTTTTCCCGAACGCCATCCTCTGCTTAACAATTAATTCTCACAACACTGTCAAACTATTTACTAAGTCTGCACTACTATTAATCTTCTCATCGTTCCCAACACCCATCTCCTTCCACTTATGACTGTATGACTGTAACTTTGTTGCTTGGATCCTTACGCTTTATATTGATATTGTTTCCTGATTGCTTATTTGTACCCTATGACTATCATTAAGTGTTGTACCTTATGATTCTTGATGAAGGTATCTTTTATGTATACTGAGAGCATATGCACCAAGACAAGTTCCTTGTGTGTCCAATCACACTTGGCCAAGAGAGAATTCTATTCTATTTTCTATTCTTTTCTATTCTTTTCTATTCTTTTCTACTTTTCTTTTCTTTTCTTTTCTTTTCTTTTCTTTTCTTTTCTTTTCTATTCTATTCTATTCTATTCTATTCTATTCTATTCTATTCTATTCTATTCTATTCTATTCTTTTCTATTCTATTCTATTCTATTCTATTCTATTCTATTCTATTCTATTCTTTTCTTTTCTTCTTTCCTTTCCTTTCCTTTCCTTTCCTTTCCTTTCCTTTCCTTTCCTTTCCTTTCCTTTTCTATTCCATTCCATTCCATTCCATTCCATTCTCTTTAAAAAAAAAACTACATCTTTTTAGGGCTTCCTCATAAGCATGAAAAAGATGCAGCTGCTTTAATGTGTAGCCAGCTGTCAAGCACCCAAATTGCAATTGTGTGACCGCAAAGGGTGGTATAACGGTCGTAACTTTGAGGGAAGTCATTTTTTCCCCTCAAAGCCTGTAACTTGAAACTGTTGTTAAACAAATGGTTGTAATTTGAGGACAACCTGTATTCCTTTACTGATACGTTCACACAGGGGCTAATGGAGAAGCTTTGCATTCCTTTGGGTTTGGATTTATGCACTGAACAGGAAGTGGGACTCAGTGGGTTTTTTTTTTCCTGCTGAATGATGTTAGAAAGTGGTCCCCGCTCCTGAACTGTGCAGACCTTCTATCTATGTAAAGAATTAATCTAGACCCCCTCAATAACTTGTACTGATTTTTTTTTCTCCTTTATACGAGTTTGCTACAGATCATTGTTTACAAAGGAAAAATGTATGTGACTTTGTAAAGAGGATACATGTAATCCTCTTTACAAACCCTGGTAAGTCAAGGATTCTTTCATGGGAAAGTTCATTGATCCCAAATTCTGCAGAACTGTATCCTTTACCTAGCTGCCACAAGACACAAAATATTTGAAATAATAGAAAATATATGTAGTTTGGGATTTAGATTTTGGCAGCGGTTTGCTCTCCAAGCTTGTTTCAATTTAGTTTCTGAACGTTTCTTTACCGGACGAGGTAACATCTTCAGAAGGATTTTCTTGTCCTAATCCTCATTAGGACCCTTGGGAGTTGGGCGGCATAGAAATGTGATAAATTAAATCAAATTAAATTAAATTTAAGGATCACGAGGACAAGAAAATCCTGCTGATGATGTTACCTAGTTTTGTAACAAAACGTTCAGGAACTAAATTGAAACAAGCTTGGAGAGCAAAACCACTGCTAAAAACACATGATATCTCTGTTGCATAGGAACTTTTATGTTCCACTCCAAATAAGAGCTACGTGAGAGCAGCCTCAATGCTCCCTCGGTTCAGAAACAGGGGACTAGTGGAGTAACAGGTAAGGATCTGGAAGTGCAGCACTCAACAAGAAAAGATACAAGTGGGAGGAGTTTTGCAACTTCGGTCTCAGGTTGAAATGCTGGTTTCTCTCCATTATAACGACATTGTTCCTTTTTCCTTAATTAAGGAAAAGATCTGGTGACCTCAAAAACTTATAAACTATTTGGTGAAGAGGTGGGTTTCACATATTTTTACCACCAGTTCGCTGCGCACGCATGGTTGCTTCGCGCAAGAACTTTCTGTGTATGCGCCCGGCCTTCCGCACATGCACTTTGCTTGCGTGCATGCTTTCCGCGCATGTGCCTGGTCTCAAAAACATGCCTTAATAGGATGGCATAGCACTGGGGTGGGTAGGCAGGCCCACCCATGATCTCCGCTACCAATTTGCCCGAACCGGCTGAATACCACCTCTGATTTGGTGCCATCTGAGTCGGGGTGGGTTCTACTTACCTTTACTACCGGTTTGCAACGGGATCATGCTTCTGTGCATACGCAGATCGCCGATGACGACATCTGGAGCCGTGGGCGGGGCCTCCCGCCAGTTTTATTACCGGTTCTTGCGAACCAGTCCGAACCGGGGGCAACCCACCACTGATCTGAGCTGACCCTAACAAGGCAAGTGCCCAATGATGAATTTCAGAGTTGTTACCGTATCATAGTCGCTCTGAGAGTCTCCAAAGTTTGGGAATCCTTCAAAATCTTCATCGACTATGGATTCCTCTTCTTCCTTTGCAATCATTTCGAAGACGTGCCGATACACTGCGTAGAACCCCTGAAACAAACAATACAGTCGTTCAGAAAGAAAACGAGGCTTGTTAAATTTCAGAGGGCAATCGAAGACCTCAGCATAATGATGTCTTGAATAACGGCTTCGTTTTCTGAGCTGTCAACAGTGAGATCTCCAGCCAGGTTCCAGTCTTGAGAGCCAATGTTGCTATGAGGTGAATCAGACAGGCATTTATGTTTGAAAGGAGAGCTGGTAGACCTAAAGGTTTCACCTCCTCATATTTGTAATCACATAAAATTGTTGTATCTCCTTCCACAAATAAATGACTTCTCTCTAGCTGGATCAGCAGAATAACAGAGTTAGAAGGGACCTTGGAGGTCTTCTAGTCTAACCCCCTGCTCAGGCAGGAAACCTTATACCCATGATGGCGAACCTATGGCACGCGTGCCACAGGTGGCAAGCGGAGCCATATCTGTGGGCATGTGTGCGTTGCCCTATCTCAGCTCCAGCACACATGTGCTGATTTTCGAGCGTTGCCCTATCTCAGCTCCAGCACGCCAGTTGATTTTCGGGCCTTCCCGACCCACTGGAAGTCGGGAAATAGGCTGTTTCTGGCCTCCGGAGGGCCTCCGGGTCCTCATTTTACCCACCTCGGAAGGAAGGAAGGAAGGCTGAGTCAACCTTGAGCCTGGTGAGATTTGAACTGCCAAATTGCAGTCAGCCGGCAGTCAGCAGAAGTAGCCTGCAGTACCGCACTCTAACCACTGCGCCACTGTGGCTCATAATTTAAGGAGAAGCCTTAGTCTTTGCCAGAAACAATTGATTGCTTTGGCTTACACTCCCCCAGGTTCGACTCGTGTCTGTTTGCCATTTGCCTTGCCTTGCTTGGAAAATTGCTCTTCGCGTTTTGGTTTGGGACCTAGCCCTTTTCTTGTGGCCTGCGTTTGGCCTCTGCTCCACTGGGGCTATGGAACTGCTTCTTTTCTGTCCTGAGGACTGCCTTTGTATTGTGCCTAGATTCTGCCTGGTGGATTGGACTGGGAAACCTGGACCTTGCCCTGTGAGCATGCTCCTATTCTGCGGGCTTTCTTTGTACTACCGGGGCTGTTTTTGGGGTCTGAGAGTGGTTGCCTGCAGGGTAGCATTTGGGGGGGGGGGGGGAGCCTTACCCGTTGTTGGAGGGCCTTTGGCTGGAACATTTGGTAAGAGTAATAAAGAACTCTCTAGATGCCTGCCTTGCCTTGCCCACCTGGGTCATAACAGTTCTAACAGTCAGAAAATTTCTCCTTAGTTCTAGGTTGCTTCTGTCCTTGATTAGTTTCCACCCATTGCTTCTTGTCCTGCCCTCAGGTGCTTTGGAGAATAGCTTGACTCCCTCTTCTTTGTGGCAGCCCCTGAGATATTGGAACACAGCTATCATGTCTCCCCTAATCCTTCTTTTCATTAAACTAGACATACCCAATTCCAGCAACCATTCCTTATGTTTTAGCCTCCAGTCCCCTAATCAGCTGTTTTATAGATGGCATCTACCTCCAGCTAGACTTGCGAAGATGTTTCCGAATAAATCTCCAGTATGTTGGAAATGTAATAAGAGCTATGGAACATATTACCGTCTTTGGTGGACGTGTCCGGCTGCAAAAAAATTCTGGGCTAAGATTAAAAAGTGGTTAAAGAAAATAATAGAGCAACCTATGAACGGAAAACCAGAGACATTCTTATTAGGGATATTTACTGAAAAATTCACCAAAGAAATAAAATATTTGATTTTACATATTATAACAGCTGCACGTATATCATACGCACAAAATTGGAAAAGGGAAAATATACCAAAAGAAAAAGAATTGATAAAAAAAAAATCCTAGAATGTGCCGAGATGGACAAATTAACAAAAGAGCTCAAAGAAAAGAAAGATACAGAATATTATATAATCTGGCACTAATGGCATAAGTGGTTAGAGCCGTGATGGCAAACCTATGGCACGCGTGCCACATGTGTGGCACGTGGAGCCATATATGTGGGCACACGAGCGTTGCCCTAGCTCAGCTCCAGCGCGCATGCGTGTGCTGGCCACCTGATTTTCAGGCCTTTCGGGCCCACTGGAAGTTGGGAAACAGGCCATTTCTGGCCTCCGGAGGGGCTCTAGGGTGGTGGGGAAGGCTGTTTTCGACCTCCCCAGGCTCCTAGAAAGCCTCTGGAGCCTGGGGAGGGCAAAAAACAGGCCTACCAGGCCCACCAGGCCATCACATGCCAAAAGTGGGGGGGGCCCGGGGGGGGGGTCATGTGTGCATGCCCAGGGGGATGGGGCGCATTGAATTATGGGTATGGGCACGCACGTGCGTGACCCTCCACACGACCCCCACTTTTGGCACACGACGGCAAAAAGGTTAGCCATCACTGGGTTAGAGACTAGAAATAGTGGATAATAAAAATAGAGGTGAAATTTGAAAATGGAAAGAATGAATATGACAATGTATAGAATGTATAAAATCAATATGATTGTTAAGAAGTACAAGGTAATTAAAAGAGAAAGGGACAAGAAGAAAATGGAATAGTATAAAGGGAAACGGGGGAGAATGTAAATATTAGAAGATGACCACCAAGAAATAGCTGTTAAAAGAGTGTGTGTACATATATATATATATATATAGTGTGTGTGTGTATATATATATATATATATATATATATATATATAGTGTGTTTTGTATTTGTCATATTGTGTTATAATAAAAATAAATAAATAAATAAAAGACATAAAAGAGAAGCGAATGGGACGTGAGCTTTTGCAGGAAGCAATTAGTTCATCTGGTCGACAAAAGCTTTGGGAAAGTTCTGTTTGACTCTATGCTAAATTTGGCCTTGCCTTACAGGTGGCAATTAGTTCTCTGGCAGCATTCCAAGGGAGATAAGGTGGGTGTTTGTAAACACTCCCCTGAAAGACTGTTTGAGAAGCTTTTCGGACTGGGAATGGCAATAATTCACAGCCGTATGAATAAAAGAGGTTTGCTGGGACTAAGATTGTGCTGTATACTTTCTAAGGAAGCCCAGGTCAAAACAGCGGCATTGTTAGGTGTGACCAGATCTCAGTCTGGAACTTGTAGGCTCACCACCAATAGCAAGATGCTGTGCCGGTTTCAGGGGTCACCCAAAGGTAAATGTTACTCGTTCAGATGAGCGCTTAAGCCTGACCTTTTTATCATCGTCATAGCCAGAATAACACGTAACGGTGAAGTACTGGACCAAATCCAGACTGTCATCTTGATAGCCTCCATCAATGCCTCCTTTCAAAAGAGCTTCCCTGTGGTTGTCGTACCTACAAAACAAAAAGAACAAGCTAACTGAAAAGAAACAAAATCAAAAGACGTTAGTAGAAGAACATAAAAACAAGAGCTCATATTTGCGAACCGGTAGCGAAGGTAAGTGAATACATGCCTGAATCTATGGATGTTAAAATGTATGGTTTATATACAGAATCAACAGAATTAGATCAGATATTAACAGGGACAGATGAAAAATTAATGAAGAAAATATATACCGTAGCTATTTGTTAAGTATTAAGATGGAAGATGAACAAGTAAAAGAATCAATGATAGTATGGGCTAAAAATTTTGGCTATCCAATTGAGCTAGATAAATGGCAGAAATTATGGGATAGAAATTATAAACTAACAATGTCTACTGCATACAAAGAAAATCTTTATAAAATATTTTATAGATGGCATTTTCGGCCTTCAAGGTTAGCAAAAATGTTTAAGGATAAATCTGCAAAATGTTGGAAATGCCATCAGACATTCTGGTTCATACTATCATATGTGGTGGACATGTCAAAAAAATATTGGACATAAATACATACGTGGCTGGAAAAAATGATAAAAACAGCATATTGATTTGAAACCAGAGACATTTTTGTTGGGCATTTTACCAGACAAGTACATTAAAGGGAATGTATGTTTGATTTTACATATATTGACTGCAGCTAGAATAGTATTTACACAACAATGGAAAAGTGAAGAGATCCCAACAGATGAAAATGTGATTAAAAAAAATATTAGAACGTGCAGAAATGGATAGGCTAACACTTATAATTAAGGAAGAAAGAAACAATATTTTTCGACTTGGGACTTATTTTATCAATGGTTAGCTGACAAAAACAGGAGCTAGAAACAGGGAAATATATGGAAGGATCAATGATATAAGGAAGGTATGCTAAATTGGTTAAATAAATATTGTTATTATTATTATTATTATTACTATAATAATTGATACTAATGCAATGAATACTGTTGTAAACACTTCAATTATTATTTCCTAAAATGATTTGTACCCAGGCAACACACTGTTCAATTGAAATTGGAATTTTTGTATGTTATAAAATAAAACAAAAACTATATCTATCTATCTATCTATCTCAGAGGCCTTGAAGCTTTCTACCGCAGAATAAACAAGGCATGGTATCTATTAGCAGGAAAACCAAATTGGTTTCCTGAATTGCAGCTAAAAGGTGGGCTGTTTTCAGGTCTTGCTGTAACAGGGTTTCCCAACCTTAGCCATGTTAAGATGTGAAAATTTCAACTCCCAGAATACCCCAGGCAGCTCAGGGTCTGATGGACTCAGGTGCAACTCTGCCTAAACTCTTTAAATTAAAGAGAAGAACATCTGTAGTTTTGTTTCAGCTTGAAAACTGCTTCTGGATGTTTTGCTTGAAACTGAAAAAAAAATGAAACTTTGATTTTAGTTTTTGGTGATGAGAATGATTTTATTACTATAGAAATAGCTTGAAATATTGTGAAATTATGTATTTTATGTATTTCAATGCACTGAAAAAAGCCAAAGTCACCACTTTTTTTTTCCTCATCGCACTTTTCTCTTTCTTTCAGCTTTTTTTAAACTTTTCCTGTATTTTATTTTATAATGAAACTGAACTAAAAATTATGGCAAAAAAAAAAAAAAAAGATCTAATTATCTCTGTGCTGCCACCTAGTGGCAGCACCTCCAACCAATATAAAAATTGTCAAGCTTTTATCCAAGGGCAAAAAAACTTGAGTGGAAGGCAAAACTCACCACGCTCTCTCCTGTGCATCGCTCAGCACATCATACGCAGCCTGGATCAGCTTGAACTGTTCTGCTGCTTCCTCTGCATTGTCTAGATTTTTATCTGCAATGTCAATGAAGCAGAATTGAATCAATTCATCCCAAAACAAGAAACAACCCCACCACCAGGAGCCTTGGGAAAAAATCCATTGGTGATTATCAGAGCCAACAGAAAACAATTCCTGGCTTCACATTTCCAACCTATGTGGTTTTATTCTAGCACATCCCATTAGACTTCAGTTGAGTAACACATTTGAGGGCTCCTCTCAAATTTATTTGGAAATAAACTCTGTTAATTCCAATAGAATCCAGTTCCCAAAAAGAATGCTTAAGATCAGAATGGAACAATAACTATAATATCTGCAACAATATAGAATAAAACAACAGAGTTGGAAGGGACTTTGGAGGTCTTCTAGTCCAACCCCCTGCTTAGGCAGGAAACCCTACACCCCTTCAGACAAATGGTTATCCAACATCTTCTTTAAAACTTCCAGTGTTGGAGCATTCACAACTTCTGGAGGCAAGTTGTTCCACTGATTCATTGTTCTACCGTGTTTCCCCAAAAATAAGACCCTGTCTTATATTTTTTTGAACCCTGAAATAAGCCTTGGCCTTATTGCCATGCGCTCAAAAGCCTGATTGGTCTTATTATCAGGGGATGTCTTATTTTGGGGGAAACAGGGTAACTGTCAGGAAATTTCTCCTTAGTTCTAAGTTGCTTCTCTCCTTGACTAGTTTCCACCCTTTGCTTCTTGTTCTACCCTCAGATACTTTGGAGAATAGCTTGACTCCCTCTTCTTTGTGGCAGCCACTGAGATATTGGAACACTGCTATCATGTCTTCCCTAGTCCTTCTTTTCATCAAACTAGACATACCCAATTCCAGCAACTGTTCTTCATATGTTTTAGCCTCTAGTCCCCTAATCAGGGGTGAAATGCACCCGGTTCGGACCGGATCACCCGATCCGGTAGCGATGGCGGCGGGTGGTTCAGAGAACCGGTAGCAAAAATCCCTGTGCCCCCCCATGCCCAGCTGAGCGGAACGATCATCAGAGGCTTTTTTTTTAACTTTTAAAAGCATTTTTCTACCTCTTCCAACGAAAAAATGCTTTTAAAAGTTTTTTTAAAAAAGCCTCTGATGATCGCGCGGCTCAGCTGGGATCGTCAGAGGCTTTTCAGAGCTTTTTTTTCTGCAACCTCTTGGCCGAAGAGGTGGTAAAAAAAATGCTTTGAAAAGTCTCTGATGATCCCAGCTGAGTTGCCTGATCAGCAGAGGCTTTTCAAAGCATTAGAAAAAATGCTTTGAAAAGTTTAAAAAAAAAAAAAAGTTGGCCACGCTCACCCAGTCACATTACCCTCCCCCCAAGACACGGCTACAGAACCGGTAGTAACAAATTTTACATTTCACCCCTGCCCCTAATCATCTTTGTTGCTCTTCTCTGCACTCTTTCTAGAGTCTCAACATCTTTTTTACATCGTGGCGACCAAAACTGAATGCAGAATATGTTCCAGTATCATCTGTTGATCAGGAGTTTAGACAGCCATGCTCTTTTCAGGATATTCGTCTCCTGCTAAGGTCTGTGTTTCTAAACAAATCAAATCAAATCAGTCAATATTTCCTGCTTTATTAGGCAAACTCTTTTTTCACTGGACTGGGTTTTTTTCCCCCTTCAAGAGAGTTTTGGATCTTGTTCATCTTTTGGCAAACATAAGGCTACAAATGCAGTGAATGAGTTTGCCATTGGTATGTAGAGGTTACCATGATCTTTATAGAGATAAGCCACCAGAGGCATACTCAGATAAATAAGTAAATGAATGAATGACTGAATAAAAATGTTCAAATCTTTTTCAAATTTAGACGGAGCCTAATGCATTTACAAATTGGTTTGCCATTCATTTGCTGGAATGTATTCAATTGCACCCAAAAAGGGGCAATTCAAAGCAGTAAGACAATTGTCTAGGCCTGATTGCTAATTGAAGATTTAAAAAATCAATGCATTCAGGATTAATGCATGCTAAATAACATTATGAGGCACACACTGTACACAGAAAACGGTAGAAGATAATGTGGCTTTAAGGCATGACACAATCACTTTATTTCTCAATAAAGAGTTGCAAGGAAGGCCTGCAGTTGAACTGCTGTTACAAACCTTATTATTTTCATTACCTTTAGGTTGCAATTCTAAGATTGCTTATCTGGGTCAGCGGGATTTATTTTTGAATAATCATGTAAAGGATTTTCTATGGTCAGGTGGGTTATTAAATTGAAATTATATTTAAGAAGCATCTTAACAAAGGCTTGCTGTCAGACAGACCTGTTATGACCTCATGAAAACCATTCATTACCAAACTATGTTAATTAAATCCTGCTGGGATTTAATTAATAAGAGCACCAGTACAAACAATCAGGCTTAACCAGTTTACACCCAATAGAATTTGTATTTGCTTAGAGATGAATAAACACCATCTTCTATAGACTAATATAGGAATAAATCCCAGATTTATAATTTATTTATTTATTTATTTGTGGGCTAAATTGGGAAGCCAAAAAAAATCATTTTATAAAATATTAATAGGAAGCTACTTCCATTCCACGGCATATGGATGGCTCCATATGAACACCAGGAATCAATCTTGATTGAACTGCCTTGTTGCCTTGAGAAGTAACGAAAGGCAGAATACACCTAGAATTGTAATGGGCATGTATGTGTATACTCTCTCTGTGTGTGTTTGTAGCTATAGCAATAGCACTTAGAGATATATATACCACTTCACAGTGCTTTACAGCCCTCTCTAAGCTGTTTACAGAGTCAGCCTGTTGCCCCCAACAATCTGGGTCCTCATTTTACCCACCTCAGAAGGAAGGAAGGCTGAGTCAACCTTGAGCCTGGTGAGATTTGAACTGCCAAATTGCAGTCAGCCGGCAGTCAGCAGAAGTAGCCTGCAGTACTGCACTCTAACCACTCCGCCACCACGGTTCATATACATATATATATATGTATATACATACACATATACGATATACTATTCTATTGGTCAATATAATAGAAAAATCCAAATAATATACTAAATTTCATTTCAAAAGCTTGGCACAGTGAGAGGTAGTGAGGGGTTAAAATGCGGGACAAGCACCAGGCAGGATATATGGCTAGCAACCAATATATATTATAAACTATTGTCTTTGAACCCTGAGCACCAAAACATTAGTTTGTTGAATGAGAAGCTAAACGTTTTCAAAGGAAAAACACCAAGAAAGTCCAGTCACCTTTTGAAAGAAAGAAAGAAAGAAAGAAAGAAAGAAAGAAAGAAAGAAAGGAAGGAGGGAGGGAGGGAGGGAAGGGAGGGAGGGAGGGAGGGAGGGAGGGAGGGAGGGAGGGAGGAAGGAAAGAAAGAAAGAAAGAAAGAAAGAAAGAAAGAAAGAAAGAAAGAAAGAAAGAAAGAAGAAAGAAAGAAGAAAAAGAAAGAAAAACAAACACCTTTGGAGCAGCTCTGATCTAGATCAGGGGTCTCCAACCTTGGCAACTTTAAGACTTGTGGACTTCAACTCCCAGAATTCTTTAGTCAGCAAAACAAAGCTGGCTGAAGAATTCTGGGACTTGAAGTCCACAAGTCTTAAAGTTGCCAAGGTTGGAGACCCCTGATCTAAATAATTGAGAATGTCCACAGACAAACTGCTCTTAATCAAATCAGGGAAACGAACTGTTAATTGTTTTCAGTGGCACTAATACACAGGTAAGGAGGGAAAGGAAGAGAATCTCAATCTCTTTGAGATTCTTTCTCAAATGACCAAGTAACATTTTCCAGTTAAAGTTGCAAAATGGGGCAAAACTCCCTTAGCAACATAAATGTTGGGCTCAATCGCGGCCGTAAATCAAGGACTAACTGTACTATTGTAACTTTTTGTTGTTGTTGTTGTTCAGGAGCTCAAGGTAGCATGCAAACATCTCCTATTTGTTTAAACCCCTGAACAGGCCACCCTGTAAGGTAGTTAAGGAAGAGAGTGACCGGCCAAGGGGTTTCCATGGCTGATGGTGGTTTGAACTGACCCCACTCCAATACCTAGAGCAGAGGTCTCCAACCTTGGCAACTTGAAGACTTGTGGAGGTCAAGTCCCAGAATTCCTCAGCCAGCTTTGCTTTGCTGGCTGAGGAATTCTGGAACTTGACCTCCACAAGTCTTCAAGTTGCCAAGGTTGGAGACCCCTGGACGTCACCCTGCTGGACTCCAGTTCCCATCCTCAGCAAAGCTGGCTGAGGAATTCTGGGACTTGACGTCCACAAGTCTTCAAGTTGCCAAGGTTGGAGACCCCCGGACGTCACCCTGCTGGACTACAGTTCCCATCCTCAGCAAAACTGGCTGAGGAATTCTGGGACTTGACGTCCACAAGTCTTCAAGTTGCCAAGGTTGGAGACCCCTGGACGTCACCCTGCTGGACTACAGTTCCCATCCTCAGCAAAGCTGGCTGAGAAATTCTGGGACTTGACGTCCACAAGTCTTCAAGTTGCCAAGGTTGGAGACCCCCAAACATCACCCTGCTGGACTACAGTTCCCATCCTCAGCAAAGCTGGCTGAGGAATTCTGGGACTTGAAGTCCACAAGTCTTCAAGTTGCCAAGGTTGGAGACCCCCGGACATCCCTGCTGGACTACAGTTCCCATCCTCAGCAAAGCTGGCTGAGGAATTCTGGGACTTGAAGTCCACAAGTCTTCAAGTTGCCAAGGTTGGAGACCCCCTGGGCATCACCTTGCTGGACTACAGTTCCCATCCTGCCCAACCTCCAGCTGGTGCCCATGGTTTTTATGCCACCCTTTTTTGAGAAAGGGCAGGTCGGAGGAGGCCTCGGGTGGCGTTTTGGGCTCCGGCCGGGTGAATGAATACCTGGATGCCAGCGGAGGGCCAGCTTCCGATAGGCTCGCTTGAGGTCTTCATCCGAAGCGTCGCGTTTCACCCCCAGCACTTCGTAGTGACACTTCATGCTCGGGCGTCCCAGGGCCGGCCGACCGACCGACCGACCACCTTCTCCTCCCCGGCCGGCACCTGCACGTGAGGACCGCGGTGACGACAGCCGGCGGAGGAAAAGGGGGAAGGACCGGAAGAAGCAGAGCGGAGGCCCAGCTCCTCCTCGCTCCTCCGGGCTGGGAGGCGGAACTGACGGAAGGTGCGGGAAGGGCTTCTCGGATGGGAGGATGGAATGTTGGAAGAGGAGGTTTCAATGGCGTGGAACGTCGGGGACGCGAACGTTCCGAGGCCGCCGAGCTGGGTTTGATGTGGTGGAACGTTGCGGGGCCGAACGTTCCAAGGGTCGCTTGGCGGCGTTTGATTGATTCGGAGCCTCTGATCAGAACGAGGGCGGTGGTCCTGCCTGCTTTGCCCTCGGATCAGGGCAATTGCCAATGTAGATGATCGGTGGCCGGCAGGTAGTCCTCGATTTACAACCATTTATTTAGTGACCGTTCGAAGTTGCAAAGGGCAGGGGGAAAAAAAAAAGCCACTCGGGACCGATTTTCACACTTAACGACCGTTACAGGGTTCCCCGTGGTCACCCGATCAACATTTGGATGTTTGGTAACTGATTCGTATTCATAAGAGTAACAGAGTTGGAAGGGCCTTGGAGGTCATCTAGTCCAACCCCCTGCTTACGCAGACGACCTGTACTACATGAGGGTTGTGGTGTCCCCGGGTCATTTATTTTATTTATTTATTTAATTTGATTTATATGCCGCCCTTCTCCGGAGACTCAGGGCGGCTTACAGTGCGTTAAGCAATAGCCTTCATACTTTTGTATATTTTATACAAAGCTTATTGCCCCCACAAACTGGGTCCTCAATTTACCTACCTTAGAAGGGATGGAAGGCTGAGTCAACCTTGAGCTTGGCAAGATTCGATCTTATTTTAATTGCAGACAGCTGGTGTTAAATTACAGTGCTGTCTGTTGAGCTAAACCAGGCTCAGTCATGTGACACCCCCCCACCTTCTGACAAGCAAAATCAATGGGGAAGGCAAATTCACTTAACAACTGTGTTACTAACTTAACAAGTACAATGATTTGCTTAAGTTTGGCAAGAAAGTTTGTAAATGGGGCAAAATTCACTTAACAAATGTCTCACCTAGTAACATAAATTTTGGGCTCAGTTGTAGTCATAAGTCGAGGACTACCTGTATTTCTATAGTGTGGACAGAGGACATTGGATACCGAGCGCTCGTTTTGCGCATAAATTAATTTTACTGAAAGCACGGCTTGCGGGTAAATATGATAGGTATCTGGCAGCAAGCAACAAAAACATTTTAAAAAAAGCTAACATCCGTGATCCCTCCCTCCAAAAATCTGTTTAGATTCTGGAGATGAATACCTTGTGCAGAAATTGAATCACTAATTGTCTTTCCAACTAGTCTTACTTATTTGACTGTTAGAAATTGAAACAGAGCAGTTTCGTCACCTGTTTACAATGCTTTTTGGCAGAAGGGCAAGAAATATTGAACATTATATGTGCCTATTTCTGCTTATAGGATACATGGATTATTAGTGTTATTTTGTAATTAGTTGATTGACAAATAATAAAACTCTTAACAGGAATTAAAAGGGTTTTCACTATTTGCAGCCTGGAAATTATGGAACTATTCTTTGTGCTTTGACACTTAAAAAAATCTAATTCCTCCAATTTAATATTTCAAAAATTCAGCAATGCCAATGCTGAGAAAACTGTTGTAACACAAGAAATTACATTCTTGAATTTAAATTGCTTGGCAGTGGCTATTGAACCAACAGATAATGTAAACCAATATTAAAAACTATACATTCATGTCACCTCACATCCATTCTTTTTAAAATTAATCAGTGGAACAGCTTTCCTCCAGAAGTTGTGGGTGCTCCATTACTTGAGTTTAAGAGATTGGACAGCTATTTATCCAGAATAATATAGGATCTCCTGCCTGAGCAGGTGGTTGGACTAGAAGATTAGGACAGTCCTTTCCAGTTGTGTTATATACTATTACTGTTACTGGTTTTAACCTTACAGGATAAATTTGCACAAATGTGCATAGATTAAGGATAGATTTTTTTTCAAAGCAGTATATTACAGGATTGTGCTCAAAATTATTTGAAAGGGGTATTTGAAATGCAAAGGAGCACACTACTTCTTAAAGCAGGTTTGCATTTCTTCAATTCTCATTCAGTTTACATTTTTTCAGACTCATGCAGGAAAAAAAGAACTGCTTTAAAATGCTGCTCTCCTGTCCATTTCAAAGCATAATGACTTCTAAAGCAAACCAACTCCTACTGTATAAACTTTTTTTAATGAAAACGCAATTGGGGTGCAATCCAAAACTGGTAAATCTATGGAATACAAGAAAAAATTCGAGAGACTGAAGAAATCTTAGTTGAGCATATGTATACATATGAAATTTTACCTCCGGCTATTAATAATAATAAAGTTCTCCCTCACTGATTAGAAGTAAACAGCCTCTATAATACAGGATTAAGAGTTATCATGAATCTTCAGGTAGGAATTACTGTAGAACATCTGCAGGAAAAAATGCAGGAAAACATACCAGTTCCATAAACTATTAGTCTTCAAACTGAGAAGGCATTTCAGTCATTAAACTATTGGAAACTGAGTGGGTGATTTCTCAGTGTCCAGTTGATTTATGGTTGAGTTTATTTTTCCAAATAGTGGGTTAAGAGATGTTTTGTTTGTTCCAGTGGGCTACTTTTCTTTTCAAAGTAGGCCTGAGAGAGATTGCTAGAGCCACTGGTTCTAACTCTGTGTTATACCTATCACCAACTTCCTTTTTTAAGTAAAAAAAAGCAAGAAAAGCCAAAAAAAAGTTTTGTAAAAATATTTAAGACCAGCCAATAAGTGATTACAACATGATGTTACAGTAGATAATTTGATTAGAAAATTAGCGTAGTATCTAATTAGATTCCCGTACTATAAAGTCCACTTAATCTCCATCTTTTTTTTTTCCAAAGTTCTAATTCTGTACTCCAATTCTGCCAAGCTTTCTCTTCCACTTCCTCTGTCGTTGGTGTACTTTCTTCTTTTTCTTTTTCAAACTCATTTTTGGTTCTGGCCTCACCAGTTCTATCTCCATTGGCTTTTCTTCAACTGGCGTTTCAAAAACTTCCTCGGTGGGATCTTTAGGAATGAGTGCTGGGTCTTCCTTACTCTTCAATTTCTGTAACTGTTTCATGTTTTGCTTTTCTCTAAATTTAGCAACTAGAGCTAGTCTTAATTCCCGACGATGCTGTAATAATAATAAAAGCAAATTAGTATGCATACTCTAAGGCAGGGGTGGGCAATTGTGGCTCTTTTACAACCTGTCTCAGGAATTCTGGGAGTTGAAGTCCACAGGCTGTAAGAGAGCCACAATTGCCCACCCCTGCTCTAAGGCATCGAAAAACATTAGAAAGCTGCATATATCAAGTTAGACCCCTCTTGTCTAACTAGTTCGAGGTTTTTCTATGGCAACTGAAAAAGCTCCGCATCCCTTCAGATAGTTTTGTGCAAGTGAACCAGAATGTTCCAGGGGTAGAACCAGATCCCCCAATGTGCAAAGAATATCTGCCATCAGTTTCTCCCTCTTGCCAGTTTCAGTTTCCAGAAATTTTAGGAACTTGCATTGATTGATATTTCATCTTTTGTCCAGGAACTTAGATAGTTTACATAAGTTCTTTTTCTCCACGGTAATGATCCTGTGAGATAAGGATGAGTTGAGAGATGTATTGGCTGCCCCAAAGCAACACAATGGGTTCCATAGCTGAGGATAAATTTGAACTTGGATCTCCAGTTCTAATATCCAAAGGGATTGTATTACACTATTTTCAGGCATATTACCTAAAATCATAATATTATGTAACTTAGTAATATTATGCTGTGTCTGCAATATCAAACAATGAACATAAATGTCCACCAAAGGTCTAGATCCATGATGGCGAACCTGTGGCACGCTTGCCACAGGTGGCACGCAGAGCCCTCTCTGCGGGCATGCGAGCTGTCACCCCAGCTCAGCTCTGCCGTGCATGTGCAGGCACCTCCCGCCGGCCAACTGATTTTCAGGTCTCTGTTGCACATGTGTGTGGTGGAGTGGCGCATGTGGGAGACACACTCGCATGCACGAGGGGAGGGGCACATGCACATTGCATTATGGGTGTGTGAGTGCGTGCTTTAGGCACTCGGCGCCAAAAAGGTTACCCATCATTGGTCTAGACGCTGAAATTACATCACACAGTGCAACAAAATATTGAAGACTGTGCACTGTTCCTAGTTAGTAGCGGGGTCAATCTAAACTTATTTTGCAATTTTAGCATAAGAGCCATCATTTATAATTTTGCAAATAAATTTGTACAAATGCATACGTTTCTAGTACATGCAAAGCACATTTGCACAAACATTTCTGTGCAGATTACTCTTAAGTGCGCAGAATATCAAGTGTTTATAGAAACATGTAACAAGCTAATCTGACAAGATCAATAATCAACAGACATAGAATACTTGTTTCAAGTATCTTGAGACTGACTCAAAGTAACTGTGAGCCAACAGCCAGCAGATTACAAGACTCTACTGAAGTTGATACAGCAGCTTCCAGATATAATGTATTTTGGATATATAGCATGTAAAGGAATCACCACCTTTTAAATAAAGACCAAAGAAACCAACTAAGATGAACTATCGGGCAAGTGCAGTAGAGATTAAGAGACAACTCAGCAAAGTAGAATATTAGGGAGAATTACAAAATACTGATATTTTTATTAATGGTTTGAGATGGTGCAGCCACAGCTACCAGAGTAACCAGTCAAGTTGCAGTAAGTGTAAGAATTGATACTAGGTGTGAAGACCCAGTTCAAGTCCCGCATCAGCCAGGGAAGCTTGCTGGAAGACACTGGACTAATTACTCTCTCTCTCAACCCAATCTATATTGTACAGCATTTTATGCGGGAGAAGGGAGTTGTGCTCCCTTCTCCTTCAGCATAAATCACTTCGAGTACCTAGAGTTACCAAGAAGAATATAATATTACCATATTTGGAGACTGGTAATGAGGGTTTTGATACAGGGTTTGTCCTCCAAAGCTGCCCTGGAAGATTTTGATTAGGTTCAGGACAAAACGAGGCCCAATTTCAACAAGGGCTCCATCTTCTTCTATGATCTGTAACAGAACAAAACACAGGGATGTTTTGGCATTTGGAAGCAAAGTACTTGGCACCATTTGATCCAATGTGTTAAAATTTTATTCTGATTAGAACTTTGAAGCACCATGTAGATGCTTAATGTAGATGCTTAAATGCCCTTGTCTATCCCCTACTTTTTCCACATTTTCAACATTCAACACTTTCAACATTTGGGCACCCAAGTCTTCCTGGTTTTATATTACAGGAGTTTAAGGGCTTTTATAATCTGAACACCTGAGATTTAATCCATCTCTTCTTGACTCAGAAAAAAAACCTGGAAACTAGGAGGTCAGTGGAAAGTTATCACTGGAAGAGAAAACCATTGCTTGCAGCACGAAATTGAAATATGATTCAGTGGCTATGTAACCATTATATATGGCCCATCATTATACAAATCAGCTTGAGCGAGCTTTAAATTCAAACTTTGTGTTCTCCCTTTGAACACTATCATGTCAACAATTAAGTGTGTGTAAATGCACTTTCCCATTATATCTTAAGAGATTTGACAGCATACAAATTTGATAAAATAAATTCCAAGCTCTGGTTAATTACTGCGTCTTTAAACAAGAAATCACGAAATTCTTATTTAATTCTTTCATTAAACTTCAATTAAATTTCACAATTTGTCTCTGTACAGAATGACAAACTTAAAAAAAAATTCAGTTAATTAATCTGAAGGAAAACAATTCTTCCAGTCCAAAAAACCCGAGAAGCAGGCAAACTTAATTTGTCTAGGATGGTTTTTACAATTATTACTGTAACTATATGCACCGTAATATTGTAACTATATTGTTACATACATCATTTCCAAATTCAGGTTGCTGGCTTTGCTGTTGACATCATCTGATCAATTTTATCAAAGGTTTTTTTTAAAAAATATAAATCATCCAAAGCTAATCTAGTGGGGGGGGGGGAAATAACTTGAAAAAAATAACTATTTAACCTCTTCTAGGTTGGAACTCTATGGTCCTGCTCTTTCTCAGAGGCCAAACTTCAGAGAGTTCCTGTCATTTATTGTTGACTAGCGCCCGTAAACAAAACGGGAACTAACCTGATAATTTCGAAACCAGATCCTCTCGTCTGTGATGGAGAAGGTGAAAACGTGGTCTACAAAAGGCTGACTCCTGGGATGATACTGTGGAGTACTAAAGATCTAGTCAAGAGAAATGAGAGCGCTGAATGATCAGTGGAATCATAATCCCAGATGGGTATCACAAAGATCATGCATCCCATTCCAGTCTGGTCGATTTGTTGCTATTAAAATAGTTTGAACCAGTGGTGGGTTGCTACCGGTTCTCCCCGGTTCGGGAGAGCCGGTAGTAGAAATCTTGATAGGAGAGTGAACCGGTTTGCTCCGAACGTTAGTTGGGCCCTCCTGCCCACCGCCATACCTACCTTTATTTCTTTTGTTTTTAGCTCAGCTGTAAGGTGCGGCAGAGTGGATTGCCATGCCTCAGCTGTTTTTTTACTCAATGCGCTTGCGCAAAGTGCAAGTTAGATGCGCCTGCGAGCATAGCAAGGATATGCACTGCGATCGTGCGCAAAGTGTGTGCGCGATGCGAACTGGTGGTAAAACTGGTTAGAATCCACCACTGGTTTGAACACACAAATTGTTTATCACAAAGTCAGGCTATAATTTTTTTCCCTCCGTTTTCATAATACAAAGAGTGTCTACTTTCTGAATATTTGTTGAAGGCAACTTTGACATAACTTCTGTCTAGGCCATTCTTGGTTTCTACAGAGCATGATGTCAACTTGTTTACATTATGGAGACACTGAAAAAATGAATTACAGCACACTTAGTTCAATTATGTTCACAGAAGCAGAGGCAAAATATGGAAAATCAAATCCTAGCTGAATTCTTCAGGTCTTACTATTGTATTTCCTTGTGGACAAAGACTTACAAAGACTAATATTAATAATGTATAATATGCAGTTCCTACTGAAGTAGGAGTACGAGATCTTGGCAACCTATGCTTACTAAAAGTCTAACAAAACCTTTGTTCCTCAAATACGTATATAAAATCCCGATCAAAGAATTCCAAATCAAAACACATCATTACAGAGGGAAGACTGCCCCTTAGGAATAAATAAATATATACAAACCTGAATAAATAGCTCTTTCAGCAAAGCATAATGCGGTTTCTGATCAAAAACCTATGAAAGAAACAATAAAGTTTAGGAATAAGGAGGAAAACATGAGAATTATAGACCATAAAGGAGAGTAGTCCCACAACTGCAAGTTTATTCTTACTGGATCAAAAGAAAGAACCGGTCGAGAGCCTCTCAAACAGTTTCCAGTCATCTTCAACTCAGCCAATGTGTGAACTGTAATGATATCAAGTACGATTAAGAATGTACTGTCTGCTATGTGTGGAAGAAGTTTGTTTAAAAGAACAGAATATAGCAGCTGATTACAGTCTACGATACTAATTTTTTGCAAATGCCCAACGTAATTACCATAAGCATTTTTTTGGTGGATTGTTTGGAAGCTGTTAAAATATGATTGTATTAGAAAATATTTCACTCAGTAGATGGCTGTACTTACTGTTCTGGACTAAAAACTTGGCTGATGGTCCATGGGGGACATTTGAAAGCCTAAAACAGTTATGGAAGATAGTTAGAAAAAATATTAGCATTTCCTTAGTAATTGGTCTATGGTATAATGTTTTGAATGTATGAAACAGACAATATTTTTGACAAGAGATGCTTGAAAGTGCCCCAAATATATGTACTAAAAGGCTTTTGTAGTTTTGCCATTGTTTTGCTAAGTTTCAAATTGCCACTAGAACACTGATGTTTTGGTTTGTATTCAAACCTCTAGGCAGGGGTAGGCAACTATGGTAACTTTACAAACTGTGTACTTCAACTCCCAGAATTCCAGAATTAGCATAGGAGTTAAAGTGCACAGGTCACAGTTTCTAGATATCAATAACTGGAATATATAGGCAGACGTTTTCCTCACCAAACGTAAAGATCTTGCTTCTTTTTGGCTTCAAAAAACATGCACTTATTGCAATTCTTCATTTCACAAACCTATATAAAGTAAGAAAAACAATATTCAGACCAAAGAAGAGTACTTCATTGTTTTTATCTAATATCTAGAATAAAAAGGATTTTTTGAGTGCAGATGAAGCTCACTTATGTTGTTTTATAATCCTCAAGTTTGTAATTTATAACATGGCACAGTGGAAAGTTTAGCACAGGAAAAGCTAGAATTAAATTCCCACTCCACTAGGACAATCAATTAGTAACTTGAAAAAAGAAGAAAATTTATATAACTTACCTCATTAATGATAAATAGCTTGTCTTTTCTGTCCATTTTGGTATCTAAAACACAAATGGAAAGCATATTTTAAGCTTATAAACTTCCAACAATATAGAATTTATTTCACAGATACTGAAGATTCCCCAAAAAATTAATATTCAGAATAACTGCTTTGACATATTTAGTTTACAGGTGATGCTTATTTAAAGTTTTTCCATGTGTTTATTTCCTAATACATATATCTGCAAAAATGGAACATGTTTTGTATTCGTATGTTGTTTAGCATACTATCTGCTACTTATTTTTATAATGGCAGGAAAAAAAATCATAAACTAGCTGGCTTTAAGAGGAGGCAACAATATGTATAATTACCATTTTGTCAGACTATAAGATGCACTCCCCACCTCAAAAGTGGGTGGAAATGTCTGTGCGTCTTATAGGGTGAATATTGCGGTGGGGGAGAGGGGGGTTGGTGCGGCACCAATCAGCTGCTCTAGGTGGCGGGGATTGCCAGCACTTATTGCCGCTGCAACCTGTTTGCGGGCAGTGGCGAAGAATGGGTGGTAGTGGCAGAGGCGAATGGGATGGGTTTTTTTCTTGTTTTCCTCCTCTAAAGCTAATGTGTGTCTTATAGTCTGAAAAATACAGTATGTAACTACTGATTCACTCAGTTTTGTTCCAACTTCAATATCTTTTCAGAAACTAATTCCTACTGTACAGATTTGTGCAGGGTTTCATAAATTGAAATAATCACCTAACTAAAAAGACAGGAGGCATTACAAGTAAAATCAGAAACTACCTGTTTTAGAATGAGGCATTAATGTATGCAAATCCTTCATTAGATGCCTTGTCCTAAAATTTATTCCTCTGGAAGAAAAAATGAGGACCCTCTCTTTGTTCTTCCATTTACCCTGGAAAACAGAAGCATTAGCATGACCCAGTTAATACAAAACCAAATTAAATCATTTAACCAAAGCAGTAGTTAAATATACTAACAGTAAATTATTTCATGTAAAAGAAAACAGTGCAATATGACAATGTATCTGGCAGAGGCTTCAAAATCTCAAACTGATGTCCCCAATTTTACAGATTTTAAAAAAACAAACCAACAATAATTAAATATGGTCATGCACTAAACCTTGGCAATTTTAAAGAAAGGTGGAGTTCATGCTGACTGGGGAATTCTGGAAAATTTACTCTTTCTACTAAAGGAGAATACTCACCAATCCCTCCACACACAGTCTCCCAAGGCAGAACTACAGACAGTGTATTTGACCTTGGCCAAATACACTATCAGAAAAGATTGGACATAAGAGCATTAAAAGTCTTTCATTATACAGGTAGTCCTCGAGTTACGACCACAATTGAGCCCAAAATTTATGTTGCTAAGTGAAATATTAGTTAACATTTGCCCCATTTTACGACTTTTCTTGGCACAGTTGTTAAGTGAAACACTGCAAGTTGTTGAGTCAGTAACCTGGTTGTTAAGTGAATCCGGATTCCCTATAGACTTTTGTCAGGAGGTTGCAAAAGGGGATCACATGACCCCAGGACACTGCAGCCATCATAAATGAGTCAATTGACAAGCATCTGAATTTTGATCACGTGACCACCGGGATGATGCAATGGTCGGTGTGAAAAACAGTTGTAAGTCACTTTTTTCAGTGCCACTGTAACTTTGAACGGTCACTAAATGAACTGTAGTAAGTCGAGGACTACCTGTACAGCCAATTAAATTATCAACTCAAAGGAACTTCCAATTTCTCACGGGGGGAGAGGCTAGTTATATCTCACCCACAAGGCACCCTCAGCTCACTTCCAATGTTACAGCCTTGATAAAATTCATTCAAAGCTCAACTCATTCAAATATTATTCAACAACAAATATTAGACATCACCACCAGATGGATTTGTAGCTTCTCTGACAAGCTGTACTCAACGAGTAGTCCTTAATGGTACTACATCCACATGGAGAGAAGTAAGTAGTGGGGTACCACAAGGCTCCGTCTTAGGCCCAGTACTCTTCAATATCTTCATAAATAACTTAGATGAGGGAATAGAAGAGGAACTCATCATATTATCAGAAGAAGGGGTCAAATATTTCTCCAAAGCACCGGAAAGCAGGAAAAGAAACAATGGATGGAAACTAACCAAGGAGAGAAGCAACCTGGAATTAAGGTGAAACTTCCTAACAGTGAGGACAATTAACCAGTGGAACAGCTTGCCACCAGAAGTTGTGGGTGCTCCATCCCTGGAGGTTTTCAGGAAGACACTGGAAAAGTCACTTGTCTGAAATGGTATATAGGGTCTCCTGCTCGAGCAGGGGGTTTGGATTAGAAAGCTCCTTCCCAGAATCTATTCTGATTGATTAATTGAATTAAAAATATAAAAGTGCAAACTTGACTGAAAGCAGACATGCCAAAAAAAAAAAAAAAAGTAGAATTTTAGTCAAAAGAGAGAGAGAATTATTTGATAAACAAGAAATCGTGGGAGCTCCATCATTGGAGATTTTTAAGAAGAGCCTAGACAGTCTATCTCCGTGATGGCGAACCTATGGCACGGTGTCACAGGTGGCACACAGAGCCATATCTGTGGGCACGCGAATGTTGCCCTACCTCAGTCCAGCACGCATGTGTGCGCTGGCCAGCTGATTTTCGGGCTGTCCGGGCCCACTGGAAGTCGGGAAACGGGCTGTTTCTGGGCCTCTGGAGGGCCTCGGGGGTGGGGGGGGGATGGGGAAGGCTGTTTTCGCCTTCCCCAGGCTCCTAGAAAGGCTTGGCAGCTTGGGGAGGGCAAAAAATGGGCCTACTGGGCCCACCATGCCATCGTGTGCCAAAAACGGGAGGAGAGCGGGGGGGTGTCATGCGTCATGCGTGGGGGGGACAGGGCGCATTGAATTATGGGTGTGGGCACGTGCACGCACAATCCCCCCCACTACCCCCGCTTTTGGCACACGATGGCAAAAAGGTTAGCCATTACTGGTCTAGCTAGACCAGTGGTTCTCAACTTTCCTAATGCCGCGACCCTTCAATACAGTTCCTCATATTGTGGTGACCCCCCACCACAAAATTATTCCTAAAACCATTGAAAATATGTGTTTTTCGATGGTCTTAGGGAACCCCTGTGAAAGGGTTGTACGACCCACAGATTGAGAACCACTGATCTAGACAGTCACTTATCTAAAATGATAAGAGTAGGTTCTCCTGCTTGAGCAAGGGGCTGGACTAGAAGACCTCCAAGGTCCCTTCCAGCTTATTCCTATTCCTATTCCATTCTATTCAAATCTTTTGGAAGAGGGAAAAGCAGGCGCCCCGTTATACCAGCCCACGTTCCCAGAGACACTTTGCACATGCTCAGAGGTACAGCTGCATTACCCGGCCGAGACAGACTTGGCTGGTTCAACCTGAGGGGGAAAAAGGCTCAGAGGCATCGACACCTTCCCCTCCCCAGAAAAGCCCTTTCGTGGCGTCCACACCTGCGAGACCGGGGGAGGGATGTGGAATTCATCCTGGCCCGCCACGGAGGACGGGCCTTTCTCGGCCTCCTCGACCTCCTTCCCTTCCAAAGCTCCCTTCGCGCGTTTTGTCTTCGGCCCGGCTGCGGTTGCCTTGCCGGCTCCACGCCGCCTCTTGGTCGCCGCCATTTGCTTTTCTCCCAGACGGCCTCCTCCTTTTTTCGACCGCTCTAGGATCTTCAGGAGCGGCTGAAAGAACGATAGAGATTTCTCGCGGGCGCGCTGGGAATGCTGGGAAGTTCGGCTGGTTTCCTGTGCCGTAAAGCAGGGCTCTCCAACCTTGGCAACTTTAAGACTTGTGGACTTCAACTCCCAGAATTCCTCAGCCAGCTTTGCTTGGCTGAGGAATTCTGGGAGTTGAAGTCCAACAAGTCTTAAAATTGCCAAGGTTGGAGACCCCTGCCGTAAAGAACTTGGTAGAAGGTACTGTGTGTTTTATTGATTACCTAATAAACTTAATGTTACAACAGGCTTAACTCGTATTACCTTTTTTTTAAAGAATCTTTTTTTAAATTAAACTTTAAAAGCATCACCAATAATATTTCTTTAAAAAAAACAAGGAATGGCTTCTGGTGCTGTATGTAAATAGCAACATCACTATGCGTGAGATACGGAGGATCCCGGATCTGCGCGCTTTCTGCCGTGCCATCAAAACATTTCTTTTCCAGCAGGCCGGCCTGGCCTAACCTCTCTTTTAAACTGTTTTTTAAAAAATTTTAAATTTTAAATTTGTCTTACGAATTTGGGGTGTTTTAAATTTCGTTTTCCGGGCAAATTATTTAATTGAATTTTAATGGTTTTTTTAAACATTTGTATTATATGCATTTTATTTGGCTGTTCACCGCCCTGAGTCCTTCGGGAGTAGGGCGGTATACAAATTCAAATAAATTAAAAAAATAAAAAAATAAAAACGATGATTTTTAAAAACCTAATTGGTTGTATAAAAAGAGTTATAGAGTGATGGGAGGAAAAAAAAATACTGTACTGAACAATCTAGGAATCAAATTAAAACAGAGGAAAAAGAAGGAAGCATGCATTCCGTAGGATTAAGGAGCAAAAACAACAACAACAAAAAAACAACAACAACAAAGTAACTGCATGTTTTTGGACTGGCTTTTAGCCTCCCCTAAGTGTTGTCCATAAAAACTCAGGCACCTGGGTTGATTTGGAGCTGGAAAAATCCTTGCCCCTGAATTTCAGGGAGAATTTTAGAATTTAGAATAACAGAGTTGGAAGGGACCTTGGAGGTCTTCTAGTCCAACCCCCTGCCCAGGCAGGAAACCCTACACCACTTCAGACAAATGGTTATCCAACATCATCATAAAAACTTCCAGTGTTGGAGCATTCACAACTTCTGGAGGCAAGTTGTTCCACTGATTAATTGTTCTAACTGTCAGGAAATTTCTCCTTAGTTCTAGGTTGCTTCTCTCTTTGATTAGTTTCCACCCATTGCTTCTTCTCCTGCCCTCAGGTGCTTTGGAGAATAGCTTGACTCCCTCTTCTTTGTGGCAACCCCTGAGATATTGGAACAGTGCTATCATGTCTCCCCTAGTCCTTCTTTTCATTAAACTAGATATACCCAGTTCTTGCAACTGTTTTTCATATGTTCTTCGTAATAATCTTTGTTGCTCTTTGCATTCTTTCTAGAGTCTCCACATCTTTTTTACATCGTGGTGACCAAAACTGAATGCAGTATTCCAAGTGTGCTTTAATACACTCAATACCTTTGCAAAATGGCTCATCCCCATTTCAGGGAAAGTGAATGGCACATTTATTAAGGGGGAGCCAAGTCTGTACAGAGTCTTAGAATACAGTATAATTGCTGCTTAAAAAGAATCTTAGAATAATATAATTGCTGCTTAAAAACAATGAGTGCAGCTAACTGTGTTTGGATTTTTACAGGTTTTTTTTCTTTCAGAATTTCCAGATTCTTTCTTTGGCTCTCCAAGAAGGGCGTTCAGGGAGCCTTGAAGCCATGCCCTTCTCAACCCAGCCCGAAACAGGCAAAGAGCAGAATGTTCTGGTAGCAACTCTTGATAATGTCAAAAACCTCTCCAATATTTTGAAAGCCATTCATTTCAAAGACCATGCTACTTGCTTCGCTACATCAAATGGACTCAAAGTCACGGTGGAAAATGCAAAGTCTTTGCAAGCCAATGCTTTTATTCAGGTGAGACCATTGGATTTCTTTTCTGCGGATTTACGAGGGATTTTAGTTTGACTAAAAAAATTAGATGAATGTGTGTGATAACCAATATAAGACTTCCAAAAGAAATGACACATTCTAATAAATGAAAACAATCCTGCTGTAATATCTCAGTTTATTTTATTTCCAGCAGAGGGAACTCTTTAAGCTACTTTGAGGTGGTTGAATCATGGAGTCTGTTGTAATGTTATGCCAGTAGTATTTCTTGATACACATTTAATAACAAGTAGTTTTTGTATATATGCAAGAGAAGGTATTTTGAAAATAAATAGTTGCTCTAGAACTGCTGTGTGTGACTTTGTAGCAGGATTTGTACTAGACTTTTAATCATCACAGGCTTGCTCTTGTGTCTATTATTGCAAATTATCAGTTCCACATGCTGTTTTGTAAAACACTTTTCTGCTTGATCTATCGTTTGTTAAACACCACCGGATTGCACTTTGAAAGTAAGAGTGTCATTTTTATATTACTTGGTCTTATAGTTTCTGGATTTGTTAATTTACAGGCTGGAATTTTCCAAGAATTTGTAGTGCGGGAAGAATCTGTGATGTTCAGAATCAATCTGTCTGTGCTTTTGGATTGTTTGACCATCTTTGGAACAAATTCTTTGCCAGGTATTGTGCGAGTTTATGTTGTACTGAATGATGCCAATTTGGTTCTTACGATTGTATGAAAATTATCCTGAATTGTGAATTGAATTAAAGAAGCCTTATATTTGCCCATATCAATATGCCTAATATCTACTTCCAAAGTTCTACTGATGGATTGATCAGGAAGGAATGTGGCCATTTTGCAATGTAGTTTGACTTATCGCCTTAGGCATGAAACCAACAGGGTGACATTGGGCCAGTCACACACTCTGTCTCAGCTCTAAGAAGCAGGCAGTGGCAAGCCACTTCTGAAAAACCTTGCCAAGACAATTATAGAGACCTGTCCAGGCAGCCAGTAATAGTCAACAGTGACTTGAAGGCACAAAAGTTTGTAAAAGAATGACCATCATGTCAGTAGTGGGTTGCTACCGGTTCACCCTGGATCGGGCTACCAGTTTGCCCCAGATTGGGCGAACTGGTAGCAGCAGTGGCGGGCAGCTCCGCCCACCCGCCCAGTTGCTTCTGCGCATGTGCAGAAGTGGCACGTGCACGCTCGCATGCGCTCACAAGCAAACCAGTAGCAATGGGTTTTGAAACTCACCTCTGCATTATGTGTTTCAGAGTGAAAGGCAGAAACGTGTTTTGGAGGACTTATGGCCCACTTATATAGCTGTTGCCAAACCCTGAATTGCATATTTTTCCAGGCTCATGCTGCAGTTGCAAAGAGCAGCCACACAATCCTGGCAACAGATACAACTGTTTTGTTAGAAGCTACATGAGTACCCCTTTCCATTCAAAACTTCTTTTTTGCTTTAAATCCAAACGCTGCCCAGCTCTACTGAATAGGAATAGTTGCAATATTATAATAGGGTGGTTTTTTTTCCATTTCAGGAACTCAAACAGCCCTTCGGATGTGTTATCGGGGATATGGCTACCCTCTAACCCTCTACCTGGAGGAAGGAGGGGTGGTGACTGTATGTAAAATCAACACTCAGGAACCTGAAGAGATTCTTGATTTTGACTTCTGCAGTACTAATGTTATAAATAAAATTATCCTGCAGTCAGAGGGACTCAGAGAGGCGTTTTCCGAACTAGATATGACCAGTGAAGTGCTGCAGATTACAATGTCTCCAGACAAACCTTATTTCAGGTAGTAGAAATAATTGTCCTGTTCTGATAATCATATATCAAAATTGGGTAACTGTGATCCTGAGCACAGTGCAAACATATGGCATAAAATGAGTATATGGAAAGGAAAGCTAAATATATTTTTGCATATTTAAAATTCAATCTTGATTATGCTCTAGCACAGCAGTCCTTCACTTATCTAAAAGTAAGTCCTATTAAATTGCAGGGCTTTTTTCCAATTATGTACAGTATGTGGAAAATTGTAGCTGAAAAGGACCTCTAATTAGCCAGTAGTAAAGCTACAGCTTGAGATTTTGGAGAGCTGCCAAGTCAGAGTAGATTATCCATGAGCATCCTTTTTCTAGCTGGTCTTCCAGATGTTTATACTTTCGAGGCCTTCAGAGAATGTAGTGCTGAGATTGGTGATGTGAGCAGAGGCGCCCAGGAGGAACCTGTTTTCCATCTTGGAATGTGATTGAGAGGAACCAGAAATTTAACATACTTCCTTTAGTGATAAAGCAGTACAAACATGTTTTTTTTTAGTAGTGGTAGAAGAACTATCTTTCTACCCTGTTTCCCCCAAAATAAGACATCCCGTGATAATAAGCCCAATTGGGCTTTTGAGCACATGGCAATAAAGCCAAGAGCTTATTTCAGGGTTCAAAAAAAATATAAGACAGGGTCTTATTTTTGGGGAAACACAGTACTTAAAAAGAGAAAAAATAGGGTTTTTTTTTTTTACTCTTTGCTAATTTTTTAATGGGCATAATGCATGTCATATGACTCCGCAAGACTTAAGTTTATTTTGCTCCTTAAATCCTACTAATCCCAAAATGAAAATGAAGTCCAGCAATAGCCATTGTCTTCCTTTCTCTTAATATGCCTTTCAACAGTTAGACAAAAATATTTAGTATTTTCAGACTTCAATGCTAGGCATAATTTTTCAGTAATTTAGAGTGTTAATGACACATTCTAAAGTAGGTTTGCTCAATTTTATCAAATGCTGTGTTTACATATGGGATATTGCTATTTTTATTATTCAGTCTGGTACATCTTTTCTTCTTAAGATTATCTACTTTTGGGGATGCCGGAAGCACTCACCTGGATTACCCCAAAGATTCTGACCTTATTGAAGCCTTTCATTGTAATGAAACACAAACAAACAGGTGAGCTACACCAATGCATTTACCTTCAAAGCATTACAGTGACCGTTTGTATCAAAGAATTTAATATTTATTTA